CCCAGCTATGCGAATTTAAAATTTCCTTATACAGATTTAACGAATTAAGGATATAGCGAAATAATTTCACAGGTCTTGGCGACTTCAATATAATCGAGTTTTACTTTACTCAGTATATTTTACTGATTGCACCCTTCCCCTCTATGATATCAAATCAAGATTCCAATATTTCATCAGGTCTTTTTATTGAGGCGCCTGCATGGTGCAGTGGTTAGATTATTTTCCCATGAGTCGCGGAGTATAGAGATCCTTAAGTCGCGGGTTCAAATCTCATTTCGGAAATGGAACATAATATTTTGAATAAAAAGTTCTCGAAAGGGTAGATAAAAAAAGCTAACAAACAAATCTGTCCCTTGAATTTGCGTATCTCTTAAATGACCATGCAATTACATGAATTTATATTGTTTTCTTTAACATTTGTATGTTTAATTTAGAAATTTTTTTATATCATTATGCCTTTGGGATTTAAAAAAAAACGTTTTGTAGGCAATATTTACACGATCATCATGTTCTAAAACTAGTATTTATGTACATGTTAATAAGAAAGGGTCATAGATTTCAATGGAAAGAAAATTACAAATGATTGATTGATTGTTGTTTAATGTCCCTCTCAAGATTTTTTCACTCATATTGAGACGCCTTCACTTGCCGGAAGAGGGCTACAAATTCTAACCTAAAGACTGCACTTAGGGCTATTAAACAGTGAGAGATCTATGCAAAATATTAATACTAGTATTCATATTGCAAAATACACTGTAATGCTGAATGATACTAATGTATTTTTTATTTGAATTCGTCCGTAAAATTATAACTGATGAAATCCAATTAACAGCATTTTTCATATTCGTATCTGCCAGTGACTTGAATTTTATAAATGATCATGGCATAACATTTTTTTTTAAAAGACTTTGAATCAGATATTTAATTGTCATAAATCATTTGATATGCATACATGTACATGTACTAGAATATAAGCTTCTAATGTTTCTTAGTTGCAAAGTTATTATCGGAAAGGACTGCATTAACAGACAGACTTCTTGTAAGTTGATTCCTGTCAACAGTCACGTCCCTCAATACCAAGTTTTTGCTAAAATGTTAAAAATTTTCTTTTCCTAAAAAAAAAAAGATACAGTTAAACAAAAACAAAAAAAAACAAAAAACAAAAAAACAACAAAAAGAAATCGCCAAAAATTAACAATTATTTTTGTTAGGTAAATAACAACAAAAACTGGTCTGAAAAAATATGTTTTTAAAAATGGTTGTCATGACAACGGAATTGACTATCAATTTAAATATACCGGTATTTTCTTAGTAAAAGAATCACCATTGGATATCCAAAAATATAAATATAAACATTTATTGAAGACTTTATAGATGCTACCAAAATTACAGATTTCTTAATTGTCAATGAAAGCCTTAATTTCAGATATGAAGGGATAAGTTTTGAGACGGTTTCCATGGTAACGGAATACCTAATAATATTAATTATATTTTCTTAGTAAAACAGTTACGTTGACATATCCCACAGTATACATACAATCATTAACTTAAGGCAATATATAGTTGGTATCAAAATTAAAGATTGGTTAAATGACAATAGATGGCATTAGATGCCAGATTTAGAGGTCTGAAGATGTATGTTTTTGATGATGGTTTCCATGGCAACGGAATGCCTGATCAAATTAAATTATATATTTTATGTAACACCCTTGCCTTATCACTCTCCATAGTAAAGATAAACATTTTCTGAGTGGGGGCCTTAAATGGCTCATACCATATATACTTCTTTTTGGTCATTTTTTAAAGAAATTTTCAAGATTTGAGGAAAGTGACGAAATTCATGACGTCATAATACATGAACAAAAGAAAAACAATACGTCATTTATATTTGATATGAAGTTACCAAGGGCCCAATTTAAGTTAAACTTAGCATATTTTCAACTAAAACTGAGTAGTTCTGATGTTTAAGAAATTCACAAGTCCAAAAATGGACCAATGTGAACTTTGTTCTTTAATAAAAATCACCATACTACATGTATGATAAAAACTAATAATTAATATAACACATGTAGTATGCGGAATTTTAGTTACGAAAAGAAAGGTTATAAATGCCAATAGTATGGTGGCATATTTCTGCCCCCTACATGCTAGATAAATTATGTTAACATGCAACATATTTATGTTAACATGCAATTAAGTTATTTATGTTGACATGCAAGTTATTTATCTTGACATACAAGTTACCAATCTTATAAGAAAATATAATCTAAATATGGTTTAATTTCAATATGCAAGATATTTATGTTCACATGCGGGTTTATTATGTAAACATGCATATTATTATGTTAACATGCAAGATGATTATGCTCACATGCTACTTATTTATGTCAACATTCGACTTATTTATGTCAACATGCAAGATAATAAGTTGCATATCAAAATACATATCTTGCATGTTGACATAATTATATCTTGCATGTTGACAGAAATAAGCCGCATGTTGACATAATTATCTTGCATGTTGACATAAATAAGTCGCATGCTGAAAGAATTATCATGCATGTTGACATAAATAAGTCACATTGTAAACACGTGAACATGGCCGATGTAACCCTGTAAAGTACGGTAACCACGATAATAACTAAACTGCATGACAAACGGAAATTCTGCTTTTCTCTCGTCTACGAGGGTTGTCCCAAAATTCTGTAGACAAGCGTTGTTTTGTAGGAACCTTATGTCATACATTAATGAAACTTCGTATAAAGATTAAACAAACACTATCTAATAAATTTATAGACAAATATGGAGTAACTACACAAATTATTCCAATTTAAAAGACACATTTCATTGTCTGGTGTAGGAAGGCGGCGCAATACCCAAAAGTTGCCATCAAAATTTGGTATATTATATTTAAAACCCTACGGAAAAGTAATTACTACACATGTTTTTTTTTTTTTTTTTTTTTTGGAAATGAAAATTCTTAATATTGTTTTATTAACTATATTTCCTCAAATTTGGGTGTTTATGCTTTGATAAATATGAATTCTATAACGTTTTGTGTACATGGGGTTGAAATCCGACTTTTTAAAAAATGGCGACTGCGTTGGCCCAGGCGGCGCACAGGACTATGATCAAGTGTTTTGATCCTGAATTCACCCTTACAGAAATGCACCAGTCATAAATGTTTGGTAGACTAGGAAACTTTTTTTCGTCCTTAGTATTTAAGATGACTAAAACGGTTTCTCTATGTATATGTGAATAACGGTACTAAAAACTCAAATGAAAGACAGGCTAAGAAATGGGCAAGAGTTCCATTGTGCAAATCCATTAGAGAAAACAGACACAGAGCCCTTAGAAATATAGCGTTTTCAAATTATTACTATCTCATACTAAAATAAAAGACAGGCTAAGAAATGGGCAAGAGTTCCATTGTGCAAATCCATTAGAGAAAACAGACGAAGAGCCCGTAGAAATATAGCGTTTTCAAATTATTATTCTCTCATACCTGTACACGCATATACTTTGTATACATATTTTAATGTTTCATCATATCATAGTAATTAATATATGTTACATTTATAACTATTACCGTTTCGTTTAATTTGAGAATTTGATACTGGTAATTGAAATATTTCCTCCAAAAATTTGAACCGTTAACATTTGTATTTTTTGACGTTGCGGATTGCTCCGGGTGTTAGAGAACCAATCACATTAAATGTTATTACTCAAAAAGTTTTCATGTAAATATGATAAAACTTCGTACTTTATCTGCCAAGAATACGCTTTATTCACCCTGAAAATTTTATAAAGATACGTTAATTTCTTTCAAAGATATGAGCTCAGTCTACGAAATTTTGGGACAACCCTTGTATATGTGCATCCCTCGTATATGAAGCAATAATCAAACATCACGTACATCGATAGGCAAGAAAATAACATGCCATGAAAACAATCAATTTTTAATAAAATTTTACCGATCTACTTTCACGTACCAAACTACGTTTTTCTCGATAATGTCATAACATTTATAATATTAACAGTAAATTTTGTGTGATTTTTTTTAATTGTACTAAAGCATCTGCTCGAAATGTTCGAATAAAGTTAAACATCAAATCAATCTTTAGTTTTATCAGCTTTAGCTTTTCATTAATTCTACTATTATGTTTTAGTTAGTTGTGTTATTCTTTTATAATATTTTGCGATTTCTTTTTTCATGTTTTTACTGGTCAGTAAATTTGGAATAAATAATCATAAATTGATCTCCTTTTAATATGAGGTAATATATATAAATATACAACTACCATAAAAAGGAGAACAAACAGACAAACATGCTCTGACTATGTATTAAGCCTGTAAAAAGGTGGGCGTACTCATTATCCTATGGAGATTCCAGAATATGCGATGGCCCCTTCCAATGAAAACGACTTCGAACTTCGTTAATACGAACTTTTGATTAACGTAACTACACAAAGTTGCAGTTAAGACATTGGCCATTTCTACTATTAAAATAAATATGCCCATTTTTAAAATTAATTATGTCGCAATTTCTAAGTTTCCTTAAGTGCAGTCATTCTTTATAGAGAATTGAACTGCATAAACTTGTGTATTTTGTTTGTTTATTGCACTGTATATATTTGTCACCAAGACCCTAGAAAACCATTTTCGAATCTCAAAATTCTCTTACAAGTATTTCTTTACAAACACATAAAACACTCACATATGCACGCATCAATTCAATTTATGATACCAATAACTTTTATCACAGCCCACTGTCTCAATATTTTTTTTTCGACTTGGAGTTTATAAGAAGATAAAGGCATGGAATTCCTTTAAAAATTATCGACAAATTACTGTTTACAAAAAAGTATACTTTTGCATAGAAATGGGTATGGGAATTATATTTCTGTGAAACCTATTCTTTCGTGTTATTGACAAGGAAGGAAAATGACAAAGGTATAGATATAATACTATTTTATTTAAATTTCACTCCATAATTTTTTTCTGTCTCAGCTCAACAGCCATTTATAGTTTATAGCCAGAAAATGAAGTGTATCGTCTATGCATGTTTGCTGGTCCCTGGGAGACCCCAATCCAAACCTTATCACCGTGATTAAGCTTTACAACCGCCATCTTGCTACATTGAAGCCAGGTTTTGGAATTTACATCATGACAATAAATCCAAGATTTGTAGGAGCCATTTACTGTGAGAGCTGTGAAGGCATACTGGCCTACCCAGGCTAGAGTAGTCCAGTCGAATACATACAGTCCTCCATAGGGCGCAGTGAAGATACCAGTAGAAGCGTTGTATCCTTGTCCTTCGTTCAAGTCAACCGTTTCGAACACGACCTTTGTTTTTGTAGCAAGATTTCTTTTATGGTTCTTTAATCTGACGTCAAAGGCAGCCATCTGTTCATCTGCATGTTTTCTCGATTTGTCTGATTCAAAAAGAAAAAAATGACAGTAATTACAATTCTTTTGCAACATATTTTATAAGTAATATTCTATTGTTAATATTCTTTAACAAACATACTTTGGAGATGATACATGTGCAGGCATGTGGAGTCAGAATTTTGAAAATACAGTGGAACCCGCTTAATCAAATAGTTAATTTGTCAGCCTTCTGTTATCAGTATAGCCGAATATTCGAATAGCCGATTGCTTCATTTCAAGTCCAAACAAAGATGTATACAGCTACATGTATTGACAATACATCGTAGCAAATTTCAAACTTGCACTTTCATTTCAGTTGATTACTTTACCTGTATTCTGTTAAAATTCTTTATCAACTCTTTTTTTATTTTATTAATTAAGGATTTTTGGCTATGGACTTTTTAACCTTTCTTTTTATATAAATTAAAACAAAAGAAATGGTCATACTGTAAGAGAAACGAAAAGAAAGTTTAAAAATGTCAATGCCCTTTGGCAACGGTGTGCGACTTAAAACTGGACATAGTACTAAAATTATCTCAGTTAGATTAAGATGCTATAAAAATATACAAACCCGCATTAGTTTTACATTTTTTTCTGAAAAATCCAACAGAACGACAGGTCTCTGCCACACTCTTGTAATCCTCCTGGAATGTTTTCAGTCCTGGTCTGGGCGATACTTTCTCACAGCGTGCATAAAACATCAGCATTAGAAACACAAGCAAAGAATAGGTCCCAATAGTGGTACTCATACTGACAATTACGAAATAGGACTGAACAGTTCAGAATGTGTTAAATGACTGTAAAATAATTTTTTTACACGGACCTCTAAAATATCATGGTCGGAACCAGGTGACATGGAAGAGTGTGCATCCCCTGCCGTTGGCACCACTCACACTCGCCATGTGATCCTTGACGTGATCGGGAAATAATGGAAAATCTGTTTGTGAATAATGGCCTAACGATAAGAACATGTATGAAAAACGTCAGTCAACATTTGACTTAATGATATAGATTGTATTTGCTGAAAGGATATTGAACAGAACAAAGAACTTACAAAATGATAACATCAAACTACAATTGTTTTTGTTTTATCAACTTGTATGTCAACGACTTACCTCGGTTTAGAAATTGTTCATACGTAGAGCATACTTTTGCTAAGCGAATCAGCTTTGATGTAAACCCTGCATGCAGGTGATGAAAGTGATGACTTTTTTTTTACTTTCAAGTCTTCAAGTCATTTTTTTTTATTTCTATTCTGATAATAAATATTCACAACTGTTATAATTTTTAAATCAACGACAACGTCAAGGGTTATTATGGGTTATTTTATTTCAATTGTATCACTATGTCAAATTAAAAAAATATCCCATCTATATGTAATATATGAAGATTGTAAACATGTGAACATGGCTGATGTTACTCTGTAAAGTATGCTAACCAGGGTAATAACTAAAGTGCATGACAAACGGAATGACTTCAATATTTCTATCGTTAACATCCCTCATATATGAAGCAATAATTAAACACCATGTAAAAGCAAAGAATGGGTGCACAGGGTGTTAATCGATAGGCAAGAGCACAACATGCTGTGAAAACGCTGCATTTCATTTCCGGAAATATGCATAGCATTTCCGACATTTTTTAATTTCATTTCCGACATTTTTTGTTTTCATTTCCGACATATTTTTTTTTCATTTCCGGAATTTACCTGTGCGACAATATTTTCTAAGTAAAAGTAAATGGAATTTTAAAAGTATTCATACCAAAATATTAATATATTTCGGAAATGAAATGCAGCCTATGAAAACAATCAATTTATAAATAAAGCCAAGGTATTGATAAATAATGAATGTAACAAGGATTTCAACAACCTCTTTTAAAGTCATCTTGTTCGCAAATTCTTCGGTTTGTTTTAATGAGGGTTTGTAAATATAATCTCTAGTTGGGTAGTACTCTGGTATATTTCACACCATTTGTTCGTAAGGTCATTGCTTTTATAATAAATTTGATTAGGGAATATTCCATCTATCTGATACATAGGCTCACGTTAGAAGTAGACGTTGACACCTTGTCAGAACGGATTAAATGTATCAGATCCATGTTAAAGTCACGTATTAAAAGATTGAGGGGCAAAATGAAAACCGTCTATCCTTCTGTATTCAATAAACCAGAAGTGAAAAAAGAATTAGATAGATTACACGATCGGTACGTACTGGTTCCTGCCGACAAAGCAGGTAACAAAACATTGTCTTTGTTTGTAAGATTCATTATATAAATTGTATTTTAAAAGAACTTGGATTTAATTCTACAAGTGGTAATCCTACTAATACTCATACTTCCCTTTCTAAGGAAGAAATTCTTCAAAATCACATGTCAGTTTTGAATACTTTTAATATTCCACAGAGCCAGAATGAATTTGAACTACCCTATATATATTGGATTCCGAAACTTCATAAGAATCCTTACAAACAAAGATACATTGCAGTTTCCAGTAAATGTTCAACCAATTTTTAAGCCTCTTTCGTTATCTTCACTAAGATACTGACAGTGGTGAAGGAAAAACTTCAAGAGTACTGTGCAACTATATATTCAAGAAGTGGTGTGAATCAGATGTGGATACTTAAAAATTCTAAAGAACTCTTGGACAATTTGAAATCACAAGACTTTACAAAAATCAACAGCTTAAAAACTTACGACTTTTCAACTTTATACACCACAGTTCCCTACGACAAATTAAAATCCAGGCTTTTTGATATCATTGACAGCTGCTTCTTCAATTAAAATGGAACTCGTAAATTTACTTACCTCGTCATTGGTCATTTACAAAATTATTTTGTTAAAACAGATTCTGATTGCACACATAAGTACTCTGAAGTTGACATCAAGAAGATGCTTAAGTTTCTGATTGACAATATCTATGTGGTTTTTGGAGACCAAGTATTCCAACAATCTATTGGAATTCCCATGGGTACAAATTGCGCTCCGTTATTAGCAGACTTATTTTTATATTCATATGAAGCAGAATTTATCCAAAATCTTTTGCGTGAAAAGAAGAAAACACTTGCTGTTGCCTTCAACTCGACATTTAGATATATCGACGACGTATTGTCAATTAATAATGATAATTTCCATTCCTACGTCGATACGAAATATCCTGGTGAGCTTGAGATAAAAGATACCACAGAATCCGACACTTCTGCTTCATATTTGGATATTTTACTTGAAAAAGACACTAATGGTAATCTAACAACCAAGCTATATGATAAAAGTAATGACTTTAACTTTTCCATCGTCAACTTCCCTTACTTATGCAGCAATATACCTTCATCACCTGCATACGGAGTATATATATCTCAGTTGATTCGATACGCAAGAGCATGCTCTACGTATGAGCAATTTCTTAAACGAGGTAAATTATTGACTTAGAGCAAGTTGATGAAACAAGAATATCAGCAGTCTCGTTTAAAGTCATCATTTCGTAAGTTCTATGTTCGATACAATGACCTTGTCAGCAAATAAATTTATCATTGAGTCAAATGCTGACTGACGTTTTTCATACCAATTGTTAGTCCATTATTTATACACTGAATTGACGACGGATTTTTTCCGGTATTTCCTGATCATGACAACGAGCACACGGCGGGTGTGACCGGTCGGCAGGGGATGCTCAGTCCTCCATGGCACCTGATCCCACCTATGATGTTTCGGAGGTCCGTGTTTGCTCTGCTCTGATTTTGAATATTGTTTAATGGACTTTGAGATTGAATACTCTTCGTTATCTCCATATCCTTCTTCATGTTACCGGTGTTATGTCGCAAAAGATTTCACTCCTTGTAGGCACCTGATCCCAACCATGGTATTATTATTATATTTTAAGTGCAAAGTCATTTTTGTATCAGAACTCGTACACTCGATCATGCAGGCCAAAAAAGTATTTTGATTTTTAGTTTATTACTATTTCTTTCGACTTGATAGTGTGGTTATGGACTTACCTTTCACACGGGATTTTTTTCTGTAAACCCAGATAACACCCCAAAAAATGTAAAGTTTACTATTACTTCTAACTTAACAGCTTTATATATTCATTATATAGGTTGATTACATGGTAACAGCTTGTCTAGAAATTATATTAAAATCTGATACGGCTATTGTATATACATGTATAAATTTCAAGAATCCAAAGAAAAACAGAGTTGCTAACTTTGGCGCCATTACATAGATATATATCCGTCCCACGTATATTGAATATAGCAAACATGCATTGAGACCTAGGTCCATTTAATGAATAAATGGCCCTAGTTGTTTATATACTAATTAAGGATAAATGTACCTCGAACATTTTTCCTTCTTTCTCACACTTAAGAGTTACACAAGTATTTTTTCAATATTTCTCTCAATGTAAACGTAATTTATAAATTTTAGCTGTACAAAGTGTTAAAATACACTCTGCTTAATTGACTAACACCCAATTTTTCATTTCAAATTTCATCATAAAGAAAAGATAGTTCTTTAATCCCCCGAAGAAAGTTTCCTTTGAGAGTGTTTAAAAGTTTGTATAATGAAGTTGTGTGCATATTGAATTATTTTGAATTCTGTTCCTACTCCGACACAATTTTTTACAGTGCGAAAGGCAAAACCGTTATATATAAAGTCTACGAAATGCGGAATATGAAATACTGAGTATCTGCCATGGACATAGCTTTCTTAAAATTAAAAAAAAATCGACTCCAGCATATAACAGAATACGGTAATAAACGTTTTAGTAGTTCGTGGTATTCAATCAATATTGAGACAACAAAACGCTCGCGCATTCATGACTTTTAAGGCCATGAGAAAAAAAATTAACATTCATAAACTAGTGTACCGGGGTATTATAGAAATTAATAAATATACGACATGTATTCGAAAGAGGTGGGTCCAAAGATATATCGACTTCATGGAAATCCACAGGGTCCAAACATACAAAGTTGACATCCTTTTCTGTAGGTTGTCGGTTGCTTTACTTTGTTTTATCTGTGTTAGATGAAACATCAGTGGAAGGTTACAAATTTACATCTGTACTCTTTACCTTACAACCTTTATCGAACATGAAATGCAAGGTCGAAATACTTTTCTGAGAAGTATCACCCAAAGGACTGGTCTTTACGTCCCGGATAGGGATTCGAATCCACAAGATAAGGATTGCTCGTTATATATAATGTTCCCATAAACAAGTACTTAAAATAAAATTATCCTTATTGTTACCAAACCTTACCTAGTTGCAGATGTAAAATTTTAACTCCACTGGTACTACATTGTAAGACTTCAGAAATAGGTTCAGGTTTAATAGTATTGTAATCGTTACTTTATAAATAATTTGTCTGTGCAATACTCCTCCAGTTTGTTTTAACCATTTGTTCTAATACAGTGCAGGGAAATAATTTTGTTACAGCATCAATGCTGATTTTGGTGCTTCCTATGCTTGCTGATTTTGATGCTTCCTTTGCTTGCTGATTTTGATGCTAGTTATCCTTATCCTGACCCTGGTTTGATGCTTATCCTGATGCTGGTTTGAAACTAGGTCAATGCTAGTAATGCTACCGGAAGTAGGATTATCCTGCCGGAAGTGGATAATTCAAAAACAACATCGCTATTTTAAGCCATTAAAAATAATTTTTGGGGTAATTTTTATTTGTAATTTGTATTAAATGACTTTCCTTTATCTGTTTTCTCTTTGGTCAATGCTAGTTCTATCCTTTGCTTGCTGATGCTGATCCAAATAATGCTGTTTTTTTAAATGCTGATGCTGATGCTAGTTCTATCCTGATCCTACTTATGCTGATCCTGATGCTGGTTTATGTAACAAAATTAGTTCCCTGCACTGTAAGTCATCGCTTGCCTCAGTATGAAAATTGATCATACAGGTTTCTGATTAATAAACATTCAGCTGATAAGGAGCCCATCGAAATTCCAGCAGATCGTTGGAAGACCCGCTCTGAAAAATTATTCTGGACAAAAAAGTTAAGGATCATCAAATTAATTATGTTTTACACATACTGTATCATAGAAAACAGAATGCAGTTTTAATTTTAGTATCATATTTTATATTTAAAAAGTAAAAATTAAACATTGGATGCGATAAATTTGTTTGAACACACAATACGAATTGTTCATTACGGTCACTTTAGAATTCGGCATGTTGGGGGTAGACCTGAAAATGAGATTTTTTTTCCGAAGAGTCAAATGACGTCACTAAAGTGATTGCCAGTATTTTGTATGACCTCCCCGCAAGGCCCTGCAGCGCAGACCCATGATGCCCGTCAGCCGTCCAACGCTAGCCTGAGGGATCTGTTGCCATTCCTCCTGCAATGCTGTCTGAAGCTCCCATCGATTTTGGGGAAGTGTAAGACGAACTGAAATGCGTTGCTAAAGAATGTTCTAGGCATGTTCAATAACTTCAGGTCTAGAAAACTACTTGTCGGGTCCATACGCTAAGTTATTTCACTTTCCATGTACTCGTTTACGATTCGGACTCTGTGAGGTCGAGCATTATCGTCCATTAAGATATAATCCTCCTTCAGAATACATGCAATACGTCTAGCAATAGGATGAAGAATATCATTTCGGTATTTCAAACCTGTTAGGTTGCCTTCCAAAATGTTTAGATCAGTTCTGCAGTCAACACTTATGCCTGTCCAAATCATCACCAAACCTCCATTTACTCTGTATTGCTCAGAAATGATACAATCAGCATATCTTTCCCCATTTGCAATCCAAACAAGTCTTCTGTCATCATGGAAGTCAAACAAAATTGCGACTCGTCTGAGAAGAGAACAGAACACCAATGACGTTATTGCCAAATTTTTTGTGTTCCGTTACCCACTGTAATCGATTTCTGAGGCACTCTAATTTTAATACAGGACGTGCGACTGGTCGGTGAGCCTTGAGATTTGTTTCCTGAAGTCTGTTTCAAACTGTTTGAGTAGAAATCCGTCTGTCCGTTGCTCTCTGATGCCCAGTTTTAAGCTTAAGAGCACTTTGGAAGCGGTGCGTCTCAGCAAAATTGGCCAAATAACGATCCTCACGGACTGCAGTACACCTTGGACGTCCCGATTTTAGCCTTTTTTGACAATTTTCTGCCTGTAAATATCGGTTCCATAACTGTTAATTCCGCATTTGGAAATATAAAGTCTTTCTGCAACGTGACGTTGCGTTTTGCCAGCTTCCAGCATCCATGCTGCCATGGAGTGTTCGTCCATACTCATATGCCTCCTAATAGCGTCTTATCACCAGTTCTGGCCAGATACACTTACTTTTTTAACGCCACGTACTTTCTTGACCAATATGTCCAAAAACTCAATAAACACGTGTGACTTGAGTAATTCCGCATTTGGAAATATAAAGTCTTTCTGCAACGTGACGTTGCGTTTTGCCAGCTTCCAGCATCCATGCTGCCATGGAGTGTTCGTCCATACTCATATGCCTCCTAATAGCGTCTTATCACCAGTTCTGGCCAGATATACTGAAATTTTCTTATGTTCACTAAAGAAAACCCTCTTTGATACTGTTCCACTTACTTTTTTAACGCCACGTACTTTCTTGACCAATATGTCCAAAAACTCAATAAACACGTGTGACTTAAGTATCGAATCATGTTACAATGTAATGACATGATTTTAAAACTACTTAAGCCTTGTTTTCACATAAATTCATGGGTATGAAAAAATTATTATTCTGTAAAAATATGATCCCTAACTTATTTTGCCCAGTATATATTAATATGGATATTGTCAATCAAGGGCACCATCCTTTTAAAATGGATAACAATCACTTTATGAATATTGGCTTTTTCAATTTTATTATAAATGTTTAGATCAGTTCTGCAGTCAACACTTATGCCTGTCCAAATCATCACCAAACCTCCGTTTACTCTGTATTGCTCAGAAATGATACAATCAGCACATCTTTCCCCATATGCAATCCAAACAAGTCTTCTGTCATCATGGAAGTCAAACAAAATTGCGACTCGTCTGAGAAGAGAACAGAACACCAATGACGTTATTGCCAAATTTTTTGTGTTCTGTTACCCACTGTAGTCGATTTCTGAGGCACTCTAATTTTAATACAGGACGTGCGACTGGTCGGTGAGCCTTGAGATTTGCTTCTTGAAGTCTGTTTCAAACTGTTTGAGTAGAAATCCGTCTGTCCGTTGCTCTATGATGCCCAGTTTTAAGCTTAAGAGCACTTTGGAAGCGGTGCATCTCAGCAAAATTGGCCAAATAACGATCCTCACGGACTGCAGTACACCTTGGACGTCCCGATTTTAGCCTTTTTTGACAATTTTCTGCCTGTAAATATCGGTTCCATAACCGTTAATTCCGCATTTGGAAATATAAAGTCTTTCTGCAACGTGACGTTGCGTTTTGCCAGCTTCCAGCATCCATGCTGCCATGGAGTGTTCGTCCATACTCATATGCCTCTTAATAGCGTCTTATCACCAGTTCTGGCCAGATATACTGAAATTTTCTTATGTTCACTAAAGAAAACCCTCTTTGATACTGTTCCACTTACTTTTTTAACGCCACGTACTTTCTTGACCAATATGTCCAAAAACTCAATAAACACGTGTGACTTAAGTATCGAATCATGTTACAATGTAATGACATGATTTTAAAACTACTTAAGCCTTGTTTTCACATAAATTCATGGGTATGAAAAAATTATTATTCTGTAAAAATATGATCCCTAACTTATTTTGCCCAGTATATATTAATATGGATATTGTCAATCAAGGGCACCATCCTTTTAAAATGGATAACAATCACTTTATGAATATTGGCTTTTTCAATTTTATTATAAATGTTTAGATCAGTTCTGCAGTCAACACTTATGCCTGTCCAAATCATCACCAAACCTCCGTTTACTCTGTATTGCTCAGAAATGATACAATCAGCACATCTTTCCCCATTTGCAATCCAAACAAGTCTTCTGTCATCATGGAAGTCAAACAAAATTGCGACTCGTCTGAGAAGAGAACAGAACACCAATGACGTTATAGCCAAATTTTTTGTGTTCTGTTACCCACTGTAGTCGATTTCTGAGGCACTCTAATTTTAATACAGGACGTGCGACTGGTCGGTGAGCCTTGAGATTTGCTTCTTGAAGTCTGTTTCAAACTGTTTGAGTAGAAATCCGTCTGTCCGTTGCTCTCTGATGCCCAGTTTTAAGCTTAAGAGCACTTTGGAAGCGGTGCATCTCAGCAAAATTGGCCAAATAACGATCCTCACGGACTGCAGTACACCTTGGACGTCCCGATTTTAGCCTTTTTTGACAATTTTCTGCCTGTAAATATCGGTTCCATAACCGTTAATTCCGCATTTGGAAATATAAAGTCTTTCTGCAACGTGACGTTGCGTTTTGCCAGCTTCCAGCATCCATGCTGCCATGGAGTGTTCGTCCATACTCATATGCCTCTTAATAGCGTCTTATCACCAGTTCTGGCCAGATACACTTACTTTTTTAACGCCACGTACTTTCTTGACCAATATGTCCAAAAACTCAATAAACACGTGTGACTTGAGTAATTCCGCATTTAGAAATATAAAGTCTTTCTGCAATGTGACGTTCCGTTTTGCCAGCTTCCAGCATCCATGCTGCCATGGAGTGTTCGTCCATACTCATATGCCTCCTGATAGCGTCTTATCACCAGTTCTGGCCAGATATACTGAAATTTTCTTATGTTCACTAAAGAAAACCCTCTTTGATACTGTTCCACTTACTTTTTTAACGCCACGTACTTTCTTGACCAATATGTCCAAAAACTCAATAAACACGTGTGACTTAAGGATACACCAAAGGCTTTTTTCAAGATTTTTGTCAATTTTGAGATTTTTGGCTAAGAAAACAATGTTAATCACTGCTTTATAATGCATGAAAAATTCTTGCTGATTATTAAATGGTTTTCTAATTATTTAACAATAATCAAACATAAACACTAACACATGTGAATGTGCCGTTATTGAAGCTTCTGATTTGGTCTGTAACTGCCTGCTTCTGAAAGGAGCAATAAATCACTGTGACCACTTGGGGAATTCTTCACTAGCCACACAGAGGTTATCAGTAATTAAACTACAGGGACTCTAGATTTAGGGAAGGAGATCTAACAGGTCACTAATGACCATGAAATAGGAGGTGGAGCTTAGCTCTTGCCATTTTGCCGGGAAATCTTTCTGATTCAGAATTGAACCTATTTTACTTCATTAAAGCACCTAAATAAAGAATAGAACCTCCCATTCTTGTGAATATGCATTGGAAATATGGATAAGTGACAGGTATCCAAAGCTGAATCTCCAAGGTGTCATATATTTCTAGCTTTGGCAGACTTTGTTGTGTAATGGGTTTTTGCCTTCTACTGTAAAGTAAGATCAGACAGTTGGTGGTATTATTTCAAAGGATTCAGCTCCCTTATTTATTGACCAATTTCTCTGAAAACTGGCCATAATGCGTCTCAAATGTGTGTTCACAAAACCGTATCTCAGATTTTTGATATCTTGCTCAGTTCTCGAATTATTGGGGGAAATGTAGAATTGGGCTAATAAATTGATAAAATTGAAAGACAAATGGAGGTAACTTTTGAATAAGAAGATTAATCAAAAATCTGAGATACGGTTTTAAAGTTCAATCTTTAATCTACATTTAGGCAAAATTTTGACTTTGAGAGGTGAAATACAAAAAAGTTGATTTATAAAATATAAATGCACTAATATTTACATTAAAATATCAATAATTTTTTAATAAGATAAAAATGAAAATTTAAATTAGGATCATTAAATAGTAAATTTAACAAGCTTTCAAATGATATATACTTTTAATATGTTATCTTTGTTAATAAAAGAATTACAAGCAAATTAAATTTTGCCCTTTGGAAACCTTTGGTGTATCCTTAAGTATCGAATCATGTTACAATGTAATGACATGATTTTAAAACTACTTAAGCCTTGTTTTCACATAAATTCATGGGTATGAAAAAATTATTATTCTGTAAAAATATGATCCCTAACTTATTTTGCCCAGTATATATTAATATGGATATTGTCAATCAAGGGCACCATCCTTTTAAAATGGATAACAATCACTTTATGAATATTGGCTTTTTCAATTTTATTATAAATGTTTAGATCAGTTCTGCAGTCAACACTTATGCCTGTCCAAATCATCACCAAACCTCCGTTTACTCTGTATTGCTCAGAAATGATACAATCAGCACATCTTTCCCCATATGCAATCCAAACAAGTCTTCTGTCATCATGGAAGTCAAACAAAATTGCGACTCGTCTGAGAAGAGAACAGAACACCAATGACGTTATTGCCAAATTTTTTGTGTTCTGTTACCCACTGTAGTCGATTTCTGAGGCACTCTAATTTTAATACAGGACGTGCGACTGGTCGGTGAGCCTTGAGATTTGCTTCTTGAAGTCTGTTTCAAACTGTTTGAGTAGAAATCCGTCTGTCCGTTGCTCTCTGATGCCCAGTTTTAAGCTTAAGAGCACTTTGGAAGCGGTGCGTCTCAGCAAAATTGGCCAAATAACGATCCTCACGGACAGCCGTACATCTTGGACGTCCCGATTTTAGCCTTTTTTGACAATTTTCTGCCTGTAAATATCGGTTCCATAACCGTTAATTCCGCATTTGGAAATATAAAGTCTTTCTGCAACGTGACGTTGCGTTTTGCCAGCTTCCAGCATCCATGCTGCCATGGAGTGTTCGTCCATACTCATATGCCTCTTAATAGCGTCTTATCACCAGTTCTGGCCAGATACACTTACTTTTTTAACGCCACGTACTTTCTTGACCAATATGTCCAAAAACTCAATAAACACGTGTGACTTGAGTAATTCCGCATTTGGAAATATAAAGTCTTTCTGCAATGTGACGTTCCGTTTTGCCAGCTTCCAGCATCCATGCTGCCATGGAGTGTTCGTCCATACTCATATGCCTCCTAATAGCGTCTTATCACCAGTTCTGGCCAGATATACTGAAATTTTCTTATGTTCACTAAAGAAAACCCTCTTTGATACTGTTCCATTTACTTTTTTAACGCCACGTACTTTCTTGACCAATATGTCCAAAAACTCAATAAACACGTGTGACTTAAGTATCGAATCATGTTACAATGTAATGACATGATTTTAAAACTACTTAAGCCTTGTTTTCACATAAATTCAAGGGTATGAAAAAATTATTATTCTGTAAAAATATGATCCCTAACTTATTTTGCCCAGTATATATTAATATGGATATTGTCAATTAAGGGCACCATCTTTTTAAAATGGATAACAATCACTTTATGAATATTGGCTTTATTGTGTTCATGTCCCTTTGAGAAAAAATAATTATGCTATGAACAAACATATTACATGTACTTTTCACATTCAAAAGATATTCCAGTACAATGTAACAATTACTAAAAATAAATATTCTACTATTTGGTAAAAAAGAAATATACAACAATAGTAGATCTAACATAATCTCACTAACATTAGTAAGACATCTATAAAATAGTGATAGTCTCAAACTATAGATTTAAAAAAAAAAGCTCTTTCTCATCACTGACGTCGCACTGAGGTGACACTGACATGACACTGAATTAACACAGTCTTCACTTTGGTCAACACTGATTTACAGTCTCATGTCATGATGAAAGCACACTACATTTCAGTGCAATAAGCAGAAACAAATTGTACCTATGTCAACATCTTTGTAAAAAACTTAATGATTTGCTCAACAAAACTCTGAACTATGTTCGAGACATATTGTGCACTTCTTATATATGTAAAAAAAATTGAAAGAAAATATACATAGAAAAATAAAGAATAAACCATGAAAATTGAAAACAAATGCAGGCAAATATATGAGTGATTGATATGATAACTATTTTTAAAAATTCTTCATATCTCAAGTTTCTTTTTCTGTATCAAAAGAAGATTCATAAACATTATTTTTTGTAACAAACAAAACTCCCAAAATTTTTATTATTAAAACAAAAAGTGCACAAATGGACTAGCCTTCAGACACTCCAACATATATGTGCCCTAGAATATTTCAAAGGAAGGAAGTCATCATATGTCAGTATGTGATATGCCAAAATGTGGTTGCTTCCTAAAGTACATGTATAAGAGAAACTCTTTGAGCTCAAGCTTTCACTCTGGAGTACAACACCGCTTTTATAATGGTAAATCAGAACAATTATGGCAACAATTTTAAATATATGAATGATTTCTTACACTCAACATCTTCATTTATGACAAACCATATAAAAAAATATTATTTATAAATACACTGACTTAAAGCAGAACTTTAGGAACTGATCGTGGAACTATGTACCCTAGTCTTCAGTCATTATACCGATACATGGGAAAGAGGCACGGGATGAACATAAGCAGCAATAAAATAGATCTACTGATTCCACATCTGACATGATGTGCAAAATGCTAACTATAAAACACTGTACAATTTTAGCTGTTAAGTAAGCTTGTGATAAAAAAGCTATTGTATGAAAGTCTTTTCTTCTTTTTTTTATATTCATGTAATGCACAAAAAAGCTATATGTCTATCCCATTATTTATGAAATTGATTCTTTGGGTGAGAAAATGATTAAGAGCAGTTTAAGCATGATTAATGCCATGAAACATAGAAAAATGAAAATTTTAAAACATACCTACACCAAATAACAAATAAGGCACAAGTAATACAGCACAAGAAGCAAGAACAGTAACTAAATAAGGGCAGACTAGAAGCAGCTTACCGGTAAAAGCTAACACAATAATTACTTAATACTGAGTCTTTGTGAACAGCTTTATCATGAACCATGCTTTTAGGCAGCTTGTTAAAACTAAGAAAACTCTATTTATTCTGAGCTGAAAACTGGGATGGACAAAAATATTCAGGATAAAATTCAATGTAATAATTCAATAACTTTGTAGTAGTGTTATGTTACTTTAACTTAGATATTGCACTCATTATAAACAATTTTGATATCTTAGTTCTAGGTGTTGTTTTTTTTGTTACCCTCTAAATAAGTAAATATGTTTATTTCTGTTTCTAGCCCCCTTCTTTTTCTTATGAGATTCCCCTTTCCAAAAAAGTTCACAAGTGTTCTTCAAATAGCCAAGGATGGGATTTTCTGTTTTGAAAATGTGTTATGAAAATAAATGGATAAAGCCTGCCATTATATGACTTACTTGTAATAAAAAATAAACAAGCAGAAAAAATTGTAATTTGTGTAGCAGCTTTAAATTTGTACATTTTTCCCAAATTGTCTTCCAATTTAAACACATCATTAATCAAAATGAAAAAGGAATATGTATCAAGGTAAAAATGGTTTGTGCAAATCCATACAATGTACAATACATTCCTCAAACATTTTTTTTATCTAAAAAAAATCTCAACATTGCTACTGTTTTGCATGCTGTTCACAACCTAAATTAGACTATCTGTATTGTTTAACAAGAATAAAACTTCTTGGGTTACATTTCTTCACAACTTACAAAAGCAAATGGTAAAATGTTTCAAAACTTCATAAATCTCATCCATGGTAAGACAGATCTATATGTTTAACTCATTCATTCAATACATACAGTGTCACTTTTCATACAACATCAAAATACTGGAAGTAAACTTACAGAATTTAAAGCAAGTATCATTTATACACTCACTGCATGTACACCAGATACAAAAAAAATAAAAAATAAAAATAGAAATGAGACTTATTGAAAATGTCTGGTATATAAAGTTTATGAGACTCAAAATATATATTAACTTTTCCTTCATACAATCTACATTCCTGTAGGTATATTCTGTGGATTATATTATGAATCACAAAACATATTCTGGGGTCATTTTAGTTAAAAATTACTACCACGTATAAATCTTTTCTTTGAAAAAAAAAGAAGGGTAACTTGTAACTTTTCAATTCCATATATATTATATACCATATAAATAAGTATCAAATTTCACATCTGATTGTTATGAAATGGAAAAAGATAAATAAAAAAAAATTCTTAAGTGGATCAATATAAAATATCAATTTAAAGAAAATGAATATAGACAATAAAATCAGTTCAGCCAGGACAAGAGATTCATAATTTTCAATTTTACAAAAAAATGGAAATACTGTATATAGCGAAATGTCTACTGACAGCACCTTTGGAAATTAACCAGTCAATTCCATGTAGCAGAACAGCTGATTAAAAATTTTGATAACATATTAATACATATGCCTACTGTCAAAAGAGTTAAATATTGTCTACTAAACACAGTTACACAAAAATTGGTTTTAAAAAATTGTGAAACTCAGCTGCTCCATACTACATTTAATATAGTGCATATGTTGAAATAAGCTTGAAAATAAACTACATGTATGCTTTTAAAGGAACATTCTTATACACATGAAAGTGCATGAAATTAAAAGCATTGTATCCCTTACAATGCTTTCACATGGCAATTTCAAAAATCAAAAAAAATAACCAACTTATATGACATTTCACTCGTCTTTTCTATAAAAGCTATTGTGATTCCCATTCAACTTGAGTTGTGGTTTGGGGGGTTTTAATATATCACTTTTAAACAATCGCCAAAATAAAACCACATTAATGACTGACATGACAAACATGGATAATGAAAGACAACAGTAAAAGAAGAAGGGAACTCGACTGGGCTCTATGTACATTCCGTAGAATATCCTACAAATGGAGAACCCTCGACAGCTCACAAAGGTAAATAAGTTCAGATACGTAACAAGTTTATAGAACCAGTGGTCAAAACCTATCTTCCACATCTGAAGGAGTTTACGTGAGTGGAGGAAAAAACTGTTTATTTCGGCCATCAAGGCCACACAGTTATATCCAATACATGAACCTTGATGAACATTGGACCAGAACATTGAAGTTACCTGTGGAAAAAAAAAAAAAACATTGTTAAAGACTCATGATAATTAAGTAGTATTAATGTGTGAAATGCTAATGGCTACCATGGACCTAGAACAATAAAGAAGCTGAATAGCTGATATGTGTATGGATAAATTATGCATATATTCAGTCAGGGATTAATCTAGGTTTTGGGGGAAACTACCCTTTCTGGAAAAATTGGGAAAATCAGCTCTGCAGCTGGGGGCCACCCCAGATTCCCAGCTGGTACAATACGCAAGTTTCGAGATTATCTCCCTTGGTGAGCTCTTTCGTTGAGGAGGGGAGTTTGTTGCCACATAAACAGACAGGTGGAACAGATATTTATATATTGGACACATTGCATCATCAATATACTGGTTTATCATAACTACTTGATTGTCAGGATCTACTCTTCAGCTTGAAAATAACCACATTAATGTAAAGGCCTCATTTTTTAAAACGAAAAAAATTGTAACAGAAGAAAATATCAATGACTGTAAGACTTTTCAAACGAGGATAGAGATACATGTATGGATCTTCAATAAATACACATATATTTGATCAGTGCACATGGCAATCTAAATGACACACTGATTCTATCCCTAACTATAACTTCAAAGAGCCCACTAACTTTCTAGAAAAGGTTTGTACAATCAAGGAAATCTTTTATTTTTATAAAGTCTACAGCGGTGCTCTCATTTTCAAGTATCCTAATTGAAAGTAGATTTGTAAATAAGCATAGTTGAACTTAATAAAATCATCACTGCTTAACGTTATTATCTTTCTATAACATTAAATGGATTTTAAAAGCCATACACATCAATCATTTATTTATGCACATTTGTATACACAACAACCTGTCCCACTTCCATGCTGATATGGATACTTTTTGCGCCTCTATCATAGGTGAGTTATAATCTCGAAACTTGCATATTGGAGGGGGGGGGGGCAAATGAATTTCATCAAGTAAATGACCTTTTAGAGTGCATAAAATAGCAAAGTGAAACCATATTTCACATCCTCTGGATGGTTTTACTTTAAATTTCCACTTTTTATGAAGGAAAAATTTCAGCTTTTTTTCATTGTCAAGAGAATTTTTTACTCATCATATTAGGGGAAAATAGGATATTCAGGGGATATTATCTCTTGAGGAAAAAACTGAATATCAGTAGTAAATATGTCTAGCTTAATCCCTGTCAGTGCAATTCACAATAGAAGTCGCATAAAAATAAATTTCTTAAAATTGAAAGTAAACATTATCATGATTAGCAGAGGCATATACTCCATCAAGAAAGACATTCATTATTATTGTATTATGAAAGGGAAATATCTGTTTACTTATTACATGCTTATATTTCTTCAATTATAATTGATTAACAGATTTTAATGGTCAAATACTGTACATTAGATACAAACATACATGAAATTTTGAATATTTTACTTTCATTTTCAATTAATAAAATAATTTCAATATTCATGCATGAATGTTAAATTCTTGACTTACTGCTATATGGTGTAGTGTAACTTCCCAGTTACTTAAAAGTCTGCCGTTTAGGTACATATCAATTGAATCATAAATGAAATACCCTGAAAGTAGAATATACACACAAAAGCTCAGATACCCCTTTTCAATAAAAGAAATTTTTTTTGCAACATTTTTCCACATTAAAGTGATATCTTTTTTAGCAGCTACATGTGCAAAATTTTTTTCTGCATGCTTTCGATTTGTTCAACACTGTCCAAGCTGTTTAAACATTTAAAACAATATTCACTTCTTGTTGAAAATATTCTGCATATACTGTAGAAACACAATTTTTATGGGGATCATAATTCGTCCATGTGTTTTCTAAAATGGTTTCGTGGGGATTAAATTTAGTTGTTTTGGAAGTAACACTATTCAATAGAATTTCGTGTAGGATTTAATTTCGTTGATAATTATTAACAGGGAATTTTGTGCTTTTACAGTATTTTGAATTAGTTAACATCTTTTTTTTTTAATATTGAAATGGACAATTTTTTTCTTTGCATTGAAGAAAGAATATTTTTTTGTCATAGAAGGTGTACATCTGTTGTAAAACAAAATGTTTTATAAGTCTGGACTCCCTTCCATATTGGGTAAAGTTGAATATCTAAATGAAGTGGCAAATGGTAATCTAAAGCTGATAGAATATTTCAATTTGCATTTTCAGACATCAGACTCCAATATTTTTACAGATACAAGAAGCAAGTTTTTTATCCTCTCAAAAGAGTTGCTCTTTGACAATATCTGTTTCCTACATCTCTCTTTGTAGTACTGTAGTAAGTATATTGACTTCAACTATTTATAATATCCTGCATTTTATAATTAGACAATTACTGATGAAAGTAAGAGTGCACAGGCTTAAAAATAACAAAATCTTGACCCCCCTCACTATATTATGCATTTTTATACCAACTTTGTGTGTCCGAGTTTAAACACATCAAGAAATATTTGATATCAGTATGTAAGGGTCCCAAAGCATAATCATGCATGATGGAGAGTCAAAAGCCTTTTTAACAGTTATGTCTTATACATGTGAAATATTGATATATTTTCCATTTTCTGAAGATGGATTCTGGCAATCAATGTCCTAGGTAATACAATTTTCTGATTGAAACTGAGGAAAACTTGATAAAAAGTTAGAAGTATGCAGACCATGCTCAGTATGATCATCTAGCCCCATTCAAATATTCTTCAAGGTGTGTTTTAACATGTTCAAAACAAGTACAAGAATGTTTTGACAGAATACACTTTAGTACCTCAGGAAAATAAGTACACAATGTAATACTATGCTGTGGTGCTTCTGGGGAAAAGATGCTTCAAGACATTGATAACCAATGAATCACTACTGAATGACAACATTCTGCATATATATTGCCATGTAGGAATTAAGTCACATTTTTTTCTTTTTACCCTGCATATGAGATTCAATAAACTTTGAATTTTGGGATCGGAACTATCTGGTATAGTATTTTATACTTGCAATAAATAATGTTTTTACCTGTAGAGAAAGCTACCATCATATAGGTGAAATAGTTGATGTGTTCAATTAGGTCATCAAAGATTTCAGGATACAAAACAAAACTAAAAAAATAGGAAAAAGAAAATAAATCAGTCATTGCATAAAATCACTCCAACAAATCAGTGCAATAATAAAGTCATAATATGCTGGTGATTGAATCTAACGTTAATAAAATCAATTGTGACATGACCCGGTGAGTTTTCCTTTGAAGTCAAGCATACTGTAACTGCGATACAGAACACTTTTTGTGGGCGTTTCTTATGCAAATGAGCAGAAACTGTACTGTATCTGCAAAATATCAACGATACAGTACGGTTTATATTTAGCGATGACGGAAAGCTGTATCCATATACAGACATACCAATCGTTCAATTCGCCATAGAACTGTTAGTATTTACTCAAAAATTGAGGTGAATTAAGAATAAAATTTTACAACGTAAAGGTATTATTGTCGGATTCAAAATTTTAGAAAGGAGGGAGTGGGGAAGTTCACAAATTATTACTTTGACCCCCCCCCTCCAAAAAAAAAAAAAACGGAAATTCGTATTCCGTGGGGTTATATTTATAACCAACTAACACCTATGTGCGTCATTTCGTTACTTGTTGACGAATTATGTATGTATACAAGATTAGGAAAAAAAAATTATTTACGAAAGCGAAAAAGAAAAAAACTCAAAGGAGGTGGGATGGGGGCACCAGTGAGTGCTGTATTCCCCTTTTTAGTTACTCTACATTTTAATGAAAACATGAACGTAAAATCCCCCCCCCCTTTTCCTTTCATTTGCTTATTTCAATTTGTATATGACGACCGGTGGAGGACATTGTCGGACATTTCTCTCAAATCTAAAAGCATTTTTGTTTCAAAAATATTCCCACATGATTCTTAGATATCAAAATGTTTTGCATTAAATCGTAGCTTAAACTGAAAAAAAAAAATGTCAGCAAGAGCTGCATCGAGAAAAAAAAAACCCTAAATCTAAATAAAATTTTTGGAGAACAAATTAATTTATGCATCCCTTAAATAATTATTTTAAAATGATAGATACCTGCACGTCCATCTCACTCGGCATTTCAGTTGCGAATGCTTAAAATGGGATACTAAATCAACTTTCTGCAAAATCATCTGATTGGTTGGGAGGTATGTACCCAAATACGCATGTAAATTAGTGAGGTCCTTGGAAAGGTCATGTCACAAGTCATTTAGAATACTCGTTTCTTATGTATCAGAGATACAGGGCGGGGCCCGGCTCGAGCTATCGCTCTCGCCTCAAGCCCCGCCCTGTATCTCTGATACAGTAGGAAACTCGTACTCTAAATAATACTTAATGTGCCGGATATGATTTTTTTTTACTTGTCGTATGGGGCCCTATACGTTACTAATATAGCCATGGGCATTAAATACATAGAATACAATTAACAAAAGGGTTTTACATTCCAGACATGTATATCATACCACAATACATTCCATGTGCCACATATCATTCCGTGAATCCAAGATATAACTAAATTCCTCCATCGCCATGGGTCTTCTTTGACACTCTGCGGAGTTTCTACATATCGTGAGACAAACTTATTCAAAGAATGAAAAACAACTATGGTTGAGAACATCATTAGATACCCATAACGAACGTCAACTTCAACTTTCCTTAAGTCTGAATCGGATGCCATTTTTTAATGAAATATAACTAGTTACAGTTTACATGTGTCTCATCAAAACCGGGCAAGCCAAGGCCCATTTAGTCACGTGACTTGTAAAGCCGCTTCTGTCATTGCATATTGTAAACAAAACATCGTGTTGCCAGGCTTAGAACAACACATGGACTTCTTACTTTACTCTAAACGTTACAATATGTGTCAGTACATGTGTGTTGTTGAAATCAGATTTTTCATATTGCAAGATTTTCAAAATTTTAACATCTATTCAGATTTTTTTTGGTTTTCCTCAGACATGAGATAGATCGACTTAATTCTCATTTTGATGAAACTTTGGCCTGAAATTTTTCAAAGAACGACCACGTATTCAAAGAGACTTTGTTTCCCCCAACTATTTGCTTTACACGGGAAAATAAATGACAAATCCTACATTAAAGTTGAAATCAATGCATTTTCTCTAATACCAATAGAACTATTTATCAAACACACAGAGTTTATTGTCATTACCTCAAAAAAAAAAAAAAAAAAAATACAAAACTACTGTATAAACTATTTTATTAACAAAAAATGAACTTTCACTATCCAATTCATTATCTTCAAACGACTACTTGTGAACGCTAGCTAGAACTCATAAGTGTATAAAATTTATCTTAATTTGTATTCAAAACGAACGTTTGCATGGTTGAAATGTCATTGTAACTAAGATATCAGACTAAAAACATTCAATTAAAGTGTTTCCACATTTATTTGAACCCTTCTATATACACTATGCATGTAATATGCTACCTCTTTATCAAATTTACTTTTAAATGACATTCTTGATATAATGAGGATTAATTTGCATACAGAACAAAATAATTAATGTACCCAAAACTATAATGTGCGTGAAGCGGAGAGAGAGAGAGAGAGAGAGAGAGAGAGAGAGAGAGAGAGAGAGAGAGAGAGAGAGAGAGAGAGAGAGAGAGAGAGAGAGAGAGAGAGAATTTCAATCTACCGAAGAAAATAAAAGTTCTCAATCATTTCTACTTTTTTAATGAGAAGAAAAAAGTGTGTGAATCAATCATGCCCCCGTGCGGCAGCCTATGGCGAGGGCCAAGATCAATTAAGAGAACATAAATATTGTTTTCTACGGAAAAAAAACTTGTATCAGTGAATATATCTGAAATATGTCAGCCCTAGAACCAACCATTCAAAAGTTAGACAAAAGTTATAATTAATTTTTTTTTTAAGAAATGGGCCAAAATCCAAGGAAAAAACTGACACATAGGGATAGAACTTGAATAGTCACAAGAAATATGAATGTAAAATATAAAAAGTTTTGGAACCAAAAGTTATGACCAAGGTTTAATTTCTTTTTCAAAAAGGTCAAACTCTAAGGTCAAGGTCAAATTCGTTGGTATCGAAAAAAGATCTTATAAAATGTATAAGGAATACATCTATGAAAAAATGAAAACCTTTGTACCAATTGTTCTAAAGTTGAGGTCAAGGTTATTTTTTTAAGTTGTCAAACTCTTAGGTCAAGGTCAAAGACGTGCATACCGCAGGAAAGGAATTTCAAGAATAAATACATGTAATACCAAATACACACGTGAAGATTGAAAGTCCTCGCATCAACTGTTCGAAAGTTATGGACAAGTTTGGAAATTGTTTTGCAAAAGTGGGTCGAACTCCAAGGTTAAGGTCAAGTATCTGAACCAAAAGAAAGGTCTTAACACAGTGAATACAGTTGTGAAATATAAAAGCCATTGTTCCAACAAATCAAAAGTTACAGATAGGCAAGATTAAAATTTCTGCGGACGGACAGACAGATCGACAGACGGCGGAAAGGGCAAAAACTATAGATGTACACCCGAATCTTCGATTACGGGTGCATAAAAAAATTAATTTTACTCTCAAAATGTCTCGTATCTAAATACATTTGTACTGACAACCAATTTGTTGTTTTATATTATATTCCCTTTTTTAAACATGCTATACTCAGAGGGGAATGATAAGTTTAATAAAGTCTCAAAATGAAGCTTGAAATTAGAATATTTTCGTGCAACAATATTTTTAATTCCTGCATCTCAATATGATTCAAAGATCAGTGAAGTTCTTCGAAACGGTAAAAAAAATTACATATTCGGGAGTATATAGTTTTTGCCCAGTCCATCTGTCTGTCTATCTATAAATCTATGTTATTTACCCCCCCCCCCCCCCCCCCCAAAAAAAAATCGCCCGTAACTTTTGATTGGTTGGAGCAATGACTTTAATTTTAGTTCACCCCCAAAGGCTCAAGTGAGCTTTTCTGATCACATTTTGTCATGCGACAGTCCGTCTGTAAATAAACTTTTTTTTTACATCTTCTCGACTTCTTGTCAAGAACCACTTCTAAGCAAGTGCTCAGGTGAGCAATGTGGCCCATGGGCCTCTTTTTCAGATGCGTATTCTTTGTGATAAGACCTTCTTTGAATATGAATTTATTCATCCTCTTGGTCTTGGCATTGATCCGCTTTTGCCAAACTTTATTGAATTTTAAACCTGGCTGTATCTTCTGTACAATTAGTGCTGCTTTCACACTTACATACGTATTTATTATGACTAGACTTTTCCTTCAATATAAATATTTTTATGCCCCCGTAATCGAAGATTCGGGGGTATACTGTTTTTGTCGTGTCCGTCCATCTGTTTGTCCGCAAAAACATTTTATCCTTGCCTATAACTTTTGATTGACACGTTGCGCACGGTGTTGGTACTACAATATCTAACTCTTTATGTAGCAAAGAAATTGGCGGTTTTGCAATGTCATATTTGCTTTAAATTGAAAATAAAATCATTTATGTTATCTAAAGTAATGAATAATTCTCAAAATTTTCTTTTAAATAATTTAAAATTATTTTAACTATGATGAGGCGTTACTCAGTATTGATCATTTACGGCGAAATTCCTGTGTCCGACGTTACATCAATTATTGTTCGCGCAATTAAAAGGTATGAAAAAATGAACTTACAATTCTCTGAATTAAATGAAATTTAGGGGGTACAGTAAAATATATGCATTCTTTAAGATATTGTTGAGTTTTTAAAATCATTTTATCAATTTCATGAATTTAGACTGGATCTACAGTGCGTAAGTAAAATGTCTAACAGTAAGAAATCGTTTCCTTATACAGACATTAGCCGAAATGGAGATGTGTACCAGACATAAATCCCAGACAAATATTAATTTTGGTGAATAATCTTTTAGTACATATATTTCTTAGATTAATTGAATTGATACATTTTATATTACTTTTCCAACGTGAATATTAGGAAGGCTTTCTTAAGTGTAGCCATTTCGTAATGCACGCACGAGTCACTGTATTGTCACTAAATATGTCTCAGTAACATATCAAAAATATACGAATTAATGTAAGATATAAAGCAATCATGTATGTAGCTTGAAAGAACATTTCATGCTGCATTTACTAATTACACAATTTTTACAGTAATGGTCTACATGAAACAAATGCAAGCATCAATAAAAGTGTAGCCATTTTGTCACAGTACGAAAAACGTCATTTTAAGCAATGCGTACATATGACGTCAGGAGCGTCAAATTATTATCGCCGTGGCTTTTTTCATGCTGGTCCGTAGTATCAGCTCACAGGTACTTGTGGACATGCAAGAACCACCCCACCCCCGATATTCAACCCCGGAGCTTGTTGGATATTTTTTCACAAATTATATTTATTAAACTTAATCATCCAAAGGAAAAAAATTATGAAAACTCCAAAATGATATCGTTCCACAAAAAATACCCTACTAAACGAAGAATGCATTATAAGCCCCCCTCCCCTTCTTTCACCAAAAATAGTAAAAAGATTTTAGAATTTTCGTGATAAACCAGATTTTCAATAATGGTGATACGTCTCCATCCCTCCTTTTTTTTCATCTACTCAATACACAAAATTGATACTTATTTTTTTTTTTAATTCAAAATGACACCAGTTCCATTGAAACGTAGGAAGTATAAAAATTTTAACTCTCATTTTTTCTCTAAACACCCAAAACGCATGCGGACGCTAAATGACCTAACTGAAAAAAAATATTGAAGGAGGTTGAAAGGGAATACTGCTTATATATTTTCTCCTTACAAGTATAAGACAGATGAGTGAGAAAAATAGAAAAAGGAATATTCACTGAATGCCTTTGGCATTTCAGTAATTAAAATTCTATTATTAAGATTTATTAATAAACATCTAAATATTTAAAAAAGAAGGTTCAAACATTGAACATTATTTTCCCTTTTATTTTTTTTTTATACTTTTGAAAAATAAAATACATTTAAAGATCTAAAATATGCATGTATAAGGTTCAAAACGTTATAACAACGTTATGGCTTAAATAAAGTTATTTTGAGATAACGTCAATGTGTACCAACACCGTGCGCAACGTCTAAGTGGAGCTATGACTTTCATATTTCACAAGTGTATTCTTTGTGACAAGACCTTTTATTGGGTACCACCAACTTTGACCTTTGACCTTTACCTTAGCGTTTGACACACTTTTACACAAAATTCCAAATATTTACTTTGGCCATAACTTTTGAACTGTAGATACTAGGACTTTCATCCTTCACATATGTATTCTTTGTGACTAGACCATCCATTTAATACCAACAACTATGCCCTTTTGACCTTGACCTTGAAGATTTACGTACGTTTTAAAATTTTTAACCTCAGCCATAACTTTTGAATTGTAAGGGCTAGGACTTTCATACTTCACATAAGTTATCCTTGTGAGAAGACCTTTCATTGGATACCAAGAACTTTGACCCTTTCACCTTGGAGTTTGACCTAATTTTTAAAAACTTTAACCTTGGCAATAATTTTGAACCATTAGGATTGGGGCTTTCATCCTTCACACGTGTAATCCTTGTGACAAGACCTTTCTTAAGAGACCAATCAACTTTGACCCTTTGACCTTGACCCTGGAGTTTGACCTACCTTTCATATTTCACAAATTTATTTTTTTTGAGGAGAGATTTATATATACTTTGGGTAGCAAAATTGTTTAATTTGCATTTAATGTTGACATACAGGGGCATCAGTATTTCACAAACACATTCTTGTTTAACAAATGATAACAACCTTAACTTTTAAACAACTGATGTTTGGAATTCTTTTATATTTCACATGCATATTTCCTGTACTAATTCCTTTCCCTAGTCTAGATATCACCAATTTTTTTACAAACTCACTTAGTAAGGATGTTTCATCAATCCAAAATACTAAATACAAGAATACATACAAGTTTGTCTCACTTTTATTCAAAATAACATTTAATCAACAAAAAAAGGACTGAGTAATAGACGAATTAATATAAATACCCTCTGCTTTGCCTCCTAACCATGTAAACATGCAAATGAATACTTATAATGCCTTACATATACATGTATCCAGAAATAAAAACCTTTTCAAAGTTTACAGATAAATGAGGTCTTACTCCCAATGTCCAAGCAATGGCGAGGAACAAGATATTTAAACTTTTTAATCTACTCTTTTAAAACTTTTTAAACTCTATTAAATAGTGAGAAAAAGTTTCAGAAATTGAATTTGTTTAAAAGTCAACACAATAAATCAATGATAAAGCTATATCTTGCACATAAGATATTGAAAGTTGACGTGATCAAATTTGCAGCTAATACAGTGAATTAAATGTAAATCACAACTTAAAGTACAATGTACATTTCTCACCCAGCATCCTGTATCTACCAGTATATCTATATGGAGGAAATGATTACTGTAAAAGCACAAATATTCGTGGGGGATTAAATTTCGTTTATTTCGTTGTTAACATTTATCAACGAAATGAAATCCCACACGAAATTTTATATGACTATGTATTGAATAGGATTACTCTCAAAACAACGAAATTAAATGCCCACGAAACTATTTTTGATAACAAATCAACGAAATTTTATCCCCACGAAAATTTGTGATTCTACAGTATATTTACACTTACATTTACACACCTTTAAAAATCTTTAATTTTGATTGTTCACACTTTTACATTCTATAAGAAAAACAAAATTTCATATTTTAACAGACATTTTAACTGTAATGGGAGTTCCACAGTACGGACACTCTCCAAATATAGTGTTGAAGCTCTGCCTGCAAGAAGGCAGTCCTCTTAACCACTCAATCAAGCAGGTCTGATGGAAAGGCTGGCCGCAGCGCGAGTCATTACACACCTCCTCGGGAATCTCCGTCCCTAGTCTGTACGAGTAACAGATGCCACAGTCTGCACTGAAATCCTCCTTCTTAGAGTCTGATGGAGAAGGAAAAGCAACATTTAACACAGTGCACAAATTTGTTAAGATGCTGTTGTTTTCATTCCATAAATGTAGGTTAGAGGTCATATTTTCTCGCAAAGGATTGGTGGCCTGGTTTGACCCCATAAATTTGATTTCTGGCAAAGAACATGGATGTTTGGGGTCTACAGTTATTTGAACAGAAGCACTGGCACTGATTGCTATTCTTCTGTTGGTGGCAGCAAATGTGGGATTATCTGGTTCAAGAACCCATGTTTTCTGGTCTAACTCATCTAAATTATTCCATAAATTTTGATAATACTCAACATTATGGATAAACTGATTGAATAAATCTAAGAGTGTACTGGAAGATGTCCAAACTACATCAAATTTAGCTGGTAGATCCACAATAACTGCAGGTGGTTGTCTTGGATGTTGAGAATGAAGTTTAATTTTCATGATGTGCTGCCTTTGTTTTTCATCAGTGTACTTTATCTGGAATGACTGAAAATCAGCATCAACGGAGATGACTCTCTCCCAGCCAATTTTCTCCAGTTCGGAAATCAGTTGAGCACAGTTGCTACTATATGATGTTGATCTGTTTTGTTCTTGGGAACTTATTTGCTTCTCAGCAATGCCTCTCAGTTCTTCCAAGAAAGCTGGAAGATTCTCACACTGTGCTAGTCTCTGCTTTAAAATTTTGTCATACTTTTTCAAAATTTGTTCCAGTTTCCATTCACATGTTAACTTTGCATCTGTCAGTTTTCCACCTTGAGGCAGTTTAATATTCATTCTGTATTCCTTATCTAAAATTTGAATATATCCATCATATTCTGTGAAATCAAAGTTTTTGGGGAGTAAACATGGAAACTTCCTTAACATCGTTCTGCTGTCTTCATTCACACTGCAAGTTATCTACAACACACACACACACACAAAATAAAATAAATTATAATTATAACAAAAGTTCTAAAACAAATGTTCACCAGTGTCATCTGGCTTTTCTGACAAATACCTATATGTAGATACTGTACAGTGGAGCCTCATTTATCCGGATGCTTTGGTTCCTAGTTAATTTCTCCGGATATGTGAAGCATCCGGATACCTGAATTACCAGTTAAATAAGACAAAATAATGTTTACTAAATTCTGTTACGATGAAAAATGGTCCGGATACTGAAGCATCTGGATATATGGCATCCAGATATCTGAAGGTCCACTGTATTTTCACCTTTTATTTTCGCCCCTTTCCCCCTTGTCACAAGTGAGTGAATTTAAAACGGGGTGAATTCAAAGAATACAGTATAAATTCTTAAACAGAACTGTGCGAATTTAAAATGGGGCTAATTTGTAAGCAAGAGTAAAAGGGCGAAGATAACATGGGGAGAAAATAACTCTTTATATAGTAAATAAAACCCTTAACAATTCAATTCAGTTATTGACAACACCAGCAACCTGCTTTTTCTTAAATTTTTATGATTTCAGCAATTTTTTTTAATTAAGAGTGTTGATGCTTGAAATTCAGTATAATATCCCAAATGGGCTATAAATTTACAGTGCAAAAATTGAAAATTTTTATTTTGGCAATAAATATCATAAATCTGAATCAGGACACTTAAAAAGGAATAACTTTTGGATGACAAGTTTTCCTGTATGTCATTTGTTTAGGAGATCGATCCCTCGGAAGTTCCTTAACTTCTTGGGGATCAATCTAACAAAGGGTAGGGTTGCAGAAAAACTTGCTTACCAAAAGTTATTCCTTTTTAAGTGTTTTGATGCGGATTCATAATATTTATTGCCAAAATAAAAATTTTTAATTTTTACTCTGTAAATTTATAACCCATTTGGGATATATCCCAAATGGACTATTATATCCCATTTGGGCGATTGGTCCCAACCTGTTCATATATTTCTGAGAAAGCTCATAACAGCATAAGTATGACTTACTGTACACCTTCTCTCTTGATAAAAAGAATTTTAAACTTTTTTTCTTTTTATATAAATTAACAAGAAAACATCAAAATTTGATCCTCCACTAAAGCATGTGGCCAATATGCTATAATTTGAACAAACGTAAATTATTTCAAAAAAGATTGAATATATTAATAAACTGTGTTGCTTTTCGCTTGTGCTGAATTTAACTGTGTGGATAGCTAATGAAATGTCTTTTTATCTCAAAACATAGATAATATAATATATACCATGCTATCCATTAGTTTTTATCGCCACTAAAACTTCCAAAGTTGGCGGACTTTTTTTTTAAAAAGTGAAAGTAGAATGACTTTGCCAACTCTTACCAAATCTATTCGATAAAATTAATTAACATCTTATAACACATAGATATATAAAGATTTTAATGATCAAGGTATAAAAACATAAAATATGTTTAAACCATGCAGAGGTTTACATATAGTGACTAAAATTCGAAGAATTTTCATTAATCGTTAAAAATATATTTTATTTAATTTATGGACGATTTAACAAATATCCAATATGGCAGCCTCCTGAAAAAAGAAACATGCCAGGGAGACTGAGGGAGAAATGTAATCTGAACGTGATTTTTACTTAATTTTCTGTCGAACAAATATATTTTCTAGTAAAGCTATATATATGAATCGTCGAGGCTGGAAAAATTAAATCTGTCATCAGGTGAAATGTTTTCCAGAGCAATAATTAAGCGTTCGGTCATCGCTAAAGGTTTTAACATTAGACTTTGTAGATCATTGCGTGAATCGCCCTCCAAAAATATTGAAGAGAACACAAAGGATTCAGATAAATCAAAAGATGCATCAGGAGCAGGCTGTGATGATTATTTAGGAGTTGATTTATCTATTCTGGAGCATGTAGAAGGTAAAGATACTTCAGAGGAAATTCAGAATGAACAGACTAAAGAAGAATTGTCACGTATGTATGGTATTGGTGTGTATACTAAACCTCATGCATACGATTCTCAGGTTCTTGAAACTAACTTTGGGAGTATTACAGTAGATGGTGTGAGAAAGGGGAGAATTCCTTTGAAGAAAGATTTTTCAAAATTGAAGCCAACATTGGGTTCCATTGCTGATACATTGATAAACTATCGTAAAAAGGTAGATGAGAAAATATCACCACAATCAGTTTCTCAGTTGCTGTTAAATCAAAAAGAAAGTTCAGTGAACAAAACACCAAAATCAGAGAATGAAGATCAACAATGTGTGAATGAAAGTGAACCTCACTCTGGGACAACAAATACACAGCAAACAATTCAGGCACATTCTAAATCTAATATAACTGTTGTGGAAAATACATTTGAAGAAACAGAGACAGCAAGTTTTCAGATACCTTTGCATCAGGGAATTAGCAGTTCAACCCGTAAAGAGCACGGCCAGTTATTATCTCAGTCACTAGGTGTTAATGAAGAAAAACCTGAAATCATAGGTAAAACAGGCTCAGATACCTTCAGCACAATTTCTAACTCCATATGTGAAAAACAAGTCTTTGATAAGTTGCATCAAGTTCATGAACAAAGAATTCAGCAGTTGAATGCATCAGAGATAGTGAGGGATGTAGATGTTCAAAAAATGTCAGTTAGAACTGAAACATTATCATTAAACGGTGAAAAAATGGAGAAAAGAAATAAAAAATCTGCATCGAAACATGTAAAACATTTAAAGGAAGATATTATATTGAATGATACAAATTTACAAGGTGAAACTTCAAAATCTGAAAAAGTTATTAAAAGCAGCAAATTAGCACAAACAGTTAAAAATGGACCATTGGAAGATCCAGTAGACAGTTTCTCAGAATCCCAAGAAGGTAGAATAGATCATATTTTGCCTTTGATGGTGGAAAAAGAAACTGTTGATTCACAAGATATGTGGAACTCTGTTCCTGAAAGAGTGTCAGAGTTGGATTCAAGCCAAGAGACACCAATGGTTGAGAATGCAGCATATAAATATTTGTTACATCTTCAAAGACAAGATGAAGGTATTTTTATAATGACTTTTCTTAAAACGAGTTATTTTTTGTTAGATTATATTGTTTTTATTGAAAATCTTGCAAAATATACGTTATTATGATAAGAAGTCAAAGCTACAATAGGAAATGATAATTTGAACAATTATATAATTTCTAGTGCCAAGAATTGACAAGAAGTCTACAGCTAATTTAAGCAAGTATCTCCCCAAAAACATAGATAAGCTGACAGAGGAGGATGTATTGGATGAGCTGGCAGAGAATGTCATCTACAATAGAGGTCAGACCTTGTAGAAATATTGCATGAATGTCTATATATGAATTGTACTGTGGATCCCTCATTTTCTTTAAACATGAATTTTGGTTATTTGATGAGTCAGAATATGAAATAAAGTGATCAACAATAAATGACAAATTGTACTATTGATAGAATAAAACAATTTTATGGTATCTACATCAAAGAAATTTGATTTTGGCAACAAAAATTAAATAAATTACAAAAAGTATATAATAATTATAGTAGACTTATGTGTTTAAAATTATAAAAATAATGTCCTTGAATGTATTGAAATGAATCTTTAGAATTTTTAGAGCTTTTTTTTTATAGTAACTGTTACTGTAGTTCACTAATTTTTTTGTTACACCTTATTTTCATGAGATACAATGTATTCATTTTAAACCTTAATTAGCAAGCCAAAATTTTCATGAATGGTGGTTGTTGCTCTTTATAATCTTAAAAATTACTAATAAATGTGAGAATGAAAATTTTGGGAGCAGGCAGTCTTGTGTTATAATGTGAAAAATTGAAAATAAAGTTCTCATGAATAAAAAGTTATTTACGGTACTGAAGATGAATCTGGAGGGTTTTTTAAAAAATATATAAAGCATATTTAAAGCAAAAATGAAGCAGTCCAAATGATCAAAATAGACAGAATAAAAATAATACTTGTAGTACATGTATTGTTAAATGTATTGATCATGGACATTTCTGGTAATATGTCTCAATAATATAATTTCAGATGATATTCTTGCAATCAACAAGATTTATGGAATACCTTCACAAGGTAATTTATTCTACCTTACTCCTACTTTAAAGCAAAATCTAAAAAAAAGAGGCTACAATATATTTAATATTTTTTCCAAAACTTGTAAGTGACTATAGTATACAAACTTGCAAGCTTGCTATGTATGTTAGACAAATGATTTAATAAATTTTATTTTACACACAATCAGGAGGGGAGGGGGTGAGACTGAACATTGCTGACCTCCTACCAGCTCTGGCTGAGAGGGTCCACTGTCAGGAGCTCCACATGGTCCACAGACTGGACAAAGAGACCACAGGGGTTATGTTGTTTGGCAAGTTAGTATGAACAATAATGACACTCATTAATGGTTTAATGATAAAATTCTTTGTTCCATATGTATGATATCCTAGAATGAAATGTTGAATTTTTGAATAGAAAATATGCTTGCATCAAAGCATATTGTTGATAGCAATTAATGCTATGAGAAAATTATAAACTTTCAAAATGCTAGTAGACATGAAATATGCAAAACATGTAAACATCACAAAATTGAAAAAAATTGTGCTCACCCATGTTAATTTCATCTATTCTAATTGCAAGATGTTTTTATGTTTTTGCTTCATTTTTGTAAATTTGTCCATTCTGGTCAGAGAGTCACTCACTTTTTAAAATTAAACTAAAGCAGGCCCATAGAAAGCAATTTAAGTTTGGGGTTGCACAGCCAAACATTTTTAGTGGAGATCAACGTTAACCAAAATTTGAGAGGGGGGGGGGGCAAGCATATAGAGACGTTTTCTATAGTAATCTGTATATCGACAAAATTATTGAGGCGGGGGGGATTCCTCCCCTACATGTGCCCTCGGTTCCATAGGCCATGTTAAGCATAATCCTTGAAATGCAGATTTGATTCAAACTAAATTAAAATAATTTATTTGCATAATGGTACCGTAATTCAGTTTTATATCTATTGAATGAAAATGATACATATATTTCAGAACAGAGGAAATGGCCAATAAACTAAGGAAAGCTTTTAAAAAGAGAGAAGTAAAGAAGACTTACCTTGTCATCACAAAGGGAATTCCTTCTCTCAAAGAAGGTACTTTTGTTTATTGTGACATTATTGTGGAATTCTGAAGTTTCAAAGTTTTTCACAGAATTTCTATATAGCATTTTAATAATAATTTTTATAGGTATCATTGATGTACCTATTACTGAGGGAGAAGTTGGGAAAGACAAAAGGAAAAGGGTATGTCTAGTTGAAATCCTTGTAGGAGTTATTTCCCCTTGGATAATACTGCTAGAGTAGATTTTCTTTGCTGAAAATCTTAAGATCTTCATTTAATCAATAAAAAAATTAGCATATGTTTATTATGTGAAATACCAGATTAGTTACTCAACATTTGTTGCTGAATGAAATACTAGCTGCATCTTTTTACAGATGACTTGTATTCCTGTGTATGACTCAGAGACTAAACATGTCATGCACAAATCAAAGAAGAAGTTAATGCCCGCTGTAACACATTATAAAGTAGTAGCCAACAGTGACAGCTGTGCTCTGCTGGAAGTTAGTCCTGAAACAGGTAAAATTTGGCATAAGGACTGAGGCCTTCTTGGTACTCCAAAAATCAATAAATATTCAATGTACAATTTATCAGTAGTATACTGTAAAGTCATAAATGTTCATGGTGCACCAATGTTCATGGATTTAGTCATTCAGCTTTTCCATCATTTTTTTTTTTGTCAACATATTTATTCATTGAATCTTTGTATGTACAAGTTACCCTTGAAATTACTTCCCAAACAAATCAACAAAATTTTGCTTTTATATCCACAAACATTGACCCTGATGTAATGAAATGATTCCACAGTAACTTTTCAACTAATTTGAAGGCTTTCATATGTACACATGTTATGCCATACTGATACAGAAATTTGTCAGATTAGAAGACAAACCTTTAATTTTGTGTTTCCTGGAGAAATTTCTTTATAATTATGCAACACTGCATGTTGTTGCCTAAAATAAAATAAAAATGCTCAACAATATCCTAAAATGGCTTCTACTGAACTTTCTTACAGAATATTTACATGTATTAGAACTGTATTGTTTCAGGGGTGAAGCATCAAATAAGAACGCATCTCTTTCATGTCCTGAATACACCGTTACTGGGAGACCATAAGTATTCTTACCTGACTGAAATCAAACCACAGGTGATATGCTATATTATTAGTATTAATTAATGAATATGTAATCTACATGCAAGGTGGAGAAAACATTTCAGTTTACTAAGCTGAGGAAAAATTCAAGTAATGAAGAAAAATATATTTTTAGCTCTACTGGTCAAAGACCAGAAGAGCTTATAGGATAGTAATGTGTCCAGCATCCGTCCGTCTGTCTGTCTGTAAACAATTTTTCAAAATGCTACTCCTCCTTCAGTTTTGGTCTAATTTCAGTATAACTTGCTACACAAATAGCCTACACTAAGATACATAAATCTGTTTATCGGTTTTTGATTTCGATGAACGTTGTGCCTTGGTTACATGTACTAAAAATAGAAATTTCTGTGAAATACTTAAAAAATGCTATTCCTCCTTCAGTTTTGTTCTGATTTCAATATAACTTGACACACAAGAAGACTACACTAAGATACATAATTCTATTTATCAGTTCAGGGGTGTGCAATTAGAAAAATTTATTACTAGCCCACGGGCTAGTGGCAGCTATAAAGTTACTAGCCCCAAGTAAAAAGTTACTAGCCCAAATATAGGGGCCAAAATTTAAATAAAATGAATGTAACGTTTTTCTCTATGGGGTGTTTGCTGTTACCCGCGTCACAAAATATTGTGGATCCCGTGTATAAATTCAGGAACTTAAAATCTTTATAGATCTAATATAAGAGCAACGCCAGAGTTTGTTTCAACGAGTGTATTAATAATATCCAAGAGTAGTTTTACAAATCAAATCCAAGCTATGTATATCAACTCACTAACTCTCTCTCCTTATATACCCCTGACACCTAACGTGATTTAGGGCACCTAGTTGATTTGTTAGGGCAATCGGCTCCATCATTAGGGCACCTATTAGGGCAAGCGGCTCCAAGTATTAGGGCCTCTGCACCATTGTTAGGTGTCAAGACACTTGATACATTTAGGGCATCTGATAAGCACCATAATTAGGACACTAATTAGACTTCCAAGATAAGGGTGCTAATCAGGTACCATGGTTAGGGCTTATCAAATAAACAAAAAATAATATTCCTATTTTATTAACAACTGTAGCATATTTACATATATAAACAAAAACATTACATGAAATTAATTGTTGAAAAAGTCAGGGTACTGAGTTAATTCTTTTTTAAAAATTAATGTATAACTCTCACTATTAAATTTTAAAATCATGTTTAAATTATATGAAAGAAAATTAAAGTGAATTTAAATAAATTATCTTCCCTTTTTCTGAACATTGCACTAGCAGCAGTTTTTTTAGAATGGAATTAAATTCATTTTGTTTTCAAGTTTAATCATTAAATACACTAGAAATATATTTTATGTGTGTCACAAAACACTTATTTTTCAGTTGATTGAGTGATCGTAAATATTTTAATGAGATATCTGCATGTAATTACCATAAACGAAGGAATAGAGGAAATTCGGATTTAAAAAAACGATCGTTTTTGCAAGTAAACAAGTCAGGTAATACTGCAAAACAGATAAGATTATTGAGATTTATTGACAGTTGGAGCATGTTGTCTGGAAAATATTCACTGGTTGGGAATTATATTGCAAGAAACTGGTGAAAATACCGGTTGTGCTTTTCATGTATTGCGTGTGTAGTTAAAATTTTTACTAGCCCGACGGGCTACCTCCTTGCAGAAAATCACTAGCCCGACCCCAAAAAATGGTAGCCCCGGGCGTCGGGCGATGCTAATTGCACACCCCTGCAGTTTTTGATTTTGTTGAATGGTGTTGGCATGGTTACTAAAAATATAAATTTCTGTAAAATACTTTTAAAATGCTACTCCTTCTTCAGTTTTGCTTTGATTTCAATCTAACTTGACATACAAGTAGACTACAATAAGATTAATAATTCTGTATGTCAGTTATAGATTTCGATGAACTGTGTTTCCGTGGTTACTAAAAATAGAAATTTCTGTGAAATACTTTAAAAATGCTACTCCTCCTTTAGTTATGGTCTGATTTCAATATAACTTGGCACAAAAGTAGACTACACTAAGATACATAATTCTGTCGATCGGGTTTTGATTTCGATGAATGGTGTTGCCATGGTTACTAAAAATATAAATTTCTGTGAAATACTTTTAAAATGCTACTCCTCCTTCAGTTTTGGTTTGATTTCAATATAACTTGGCGTACATGTAGACTACAATAAGATACATAATTCTGTGTATCGTTTTTAGATTTCAATGAACAATGTTGCCGTGGTTACTAAAAATAGAAATTTCTGTGAAAAACTTAAAATCTTACTTCTTCACAGTTCTGGTCTGATTTCAATATAACTCGGCACACAATTAGACTACACTAAGATTCATAATTCTATATATCAGATTTTGATTTCAACGAAAGGTCTTGCCATGGTTACTAAAAATAGAAATTTCTGTGAAATACTTTCAAATGCTACTCCAAATATATTTTTAGTCTGATTATAATATAATTTGGCATGCAAGTATATTACACGAGATACATAATTATCAGTTTTATGTTTTTCATTTGATGAACGATGTTGCCGTGGTAACTGAAATTGAAAATTCTGTGAAATTTTATTAAAAGCTACCTCCTACAGTTGTAGTCTTATTGCAATTTTGCCACAAGAAGAGACTTAATCAAAGATCATTATTCTATTTACTGTATAAAGGATTATTTTTGCCCCATGTTATTTTCAACCTTTTGCACTTGGTAACAATTTTGCCTAGTTTTAAATTCGCCCATTCACATTTGATTTCTGTATAAGAAATTATACAGTGTTCTTTGATTTGCCCTGTTTTAAATTTGCCCAAGTGTGACTAGGGTGAATGAATAGGGCAAAAATGAAATGGCGGCGAAAATTTCCCTGTATACAGTATTGCTTTTGTAAAGTTTTATGTCCCAACTGCTACTTTTCTCTCCTTTATTATAAGTACAAACCAGTAGAGTGACAGTCTCTTGACAGTCTCGACAGAGACTTCTGGTTTAATGTCTACAATGTGATTATTACAATAGTTTTTTGTTTGTTTATCAACATTAGATTCTGCCTAGCGATGTTGTACGGAGAATGGAGATCAGACAGAGTAAAGCCAGGAACCTTCCCATGTACCTCCACGCTAAGTCCATCCTGATTCCGGAATTCCTGGATGGCAGAAGTTTTTCAGTCCATTGTAGTGTGCCTAGAGCATTTAGATCTTTTTTGAAAAAGATCAAAATTTCTCATAAAAAGGTGGATGAACGTGATTAAATTGAAATTATCATACTACTCAATGTGTCTTTCAATTTGCCAGATGTTTTAGTTGCATTTTAAGAAAATAATTTGATTTACGGTTTATATGTGCATGTTTTGGTTACTTAGTGTGTGCAGATATTTGTACTTGTAGAACATGTGATACAAACAACCATGCTGATGATGATATTGAATAAAAACATAACTGAAATTTTGACTTTAATGAATTGGATATTTTTTTTAAAAAAAAAAAAACCTTACTTGATGTATTTTTTTCAATCTTAATGGAAACAAATTTCTAGATTTAGAATAGAGATTCTATGTATAGGGTACATGATGTATGAAAGCTAATGGAGTTCACACTGAAAGGCGAAAATAAATTGTGGCAAATTATTGACAAATCAAATTGTGAGCAGAGCAAACACAGACCTGACCTAAAAAGTCACTTGTGAGATCAGGCGGAATGGAGGGGTACATGACCATATCCAAAGTCAAGAATGTGGTACACTGTGTGCTTGTCATGTATGGACAAACGTTAAAAATACATGGATAGTTTTGCGATAGGATGTCAAAACTTTCTATAAAAATCAACATTACCGTTGAGGAAAATGTTAAGTATAGATACTAGGATGCCATCTTTTTACATACATTAAGACATTAAAAGGGACAGTGGATATGACGTAGTTACATACATATTTGGCATGAATTCACAAGAACCTGTATTCTCCTTCAAGAACATTAAAAAAGAAAATTAGAAGGACCAATTGTTTATTGTCTTGAACAACAAAAGCATTTGCCGTGAACAATGTTTGATAAATATAGATAATTGATTATAAAACTGCTCGCTGATTAGTGTTCATTTGTACATTTCCATTCGTCACCGGCCCAATAGCAGTCGTCAAACCCTGAAAAAAGATTACAATTGTTGTGCAAGTTCATGTAAATGTATGGCATGCCAAATTCACAAAAATGAGTTAACACAGGGACTTATTTCGTATACGGGATACCCCCTACTTATATTTATTAGTAGGGGGTACTAGTATCCCGTATACGAAACAAGTGCCTGTGGTTGTAAACTATAATTTACGGACTGTAAGCTATAGTTAACAACGTTAATCTATGTTTTACATCTGTAAACCATAGTTAACGCGATAATCTATGTTTCAGAACCGTAAACTATACTTGACACCAAAACAATCATTTGCGATTGCAAAACATAGATTATCTGATAAATAATGTTTCATGATTTGTAAACTATGGTTTACAACTCTTAACTATAGTTAACGATCTGATAAATATAGTTCCACGATTTGTGAAACTATGATTACTCTTAACTATAGTTCACGATTGTAAATTATAGTTTACAGACGTGAATCTATGTTTATCAACAAAATTTATTGTTAACGTTTTATTTCAGACAGATAAACTTGGATTAGTATTCGTAAACTATAGTTAACAACCATTAAATATAGTTTTAAAGATGAAAACTATAGTTAACGAATTGTTAACTATAGTTTACGGTATAGTTTACAGTCGATAAACCTAGTTTATCAACTGTGAAACTATGTTTAGCTCATGTTTGTGAATTTGGCTTGCCATATAAATGGCAAAGTCTCAAAGCGACCTCTCAAAATAATGAATAAATAAAAAAAAAATTAATTGAAACAGTATAAATAAAAAATACAAAAAAGTGAAATAATTGAAAAAAAAGAAGTTTAATGAGAATCAGACCATTTTCGGTGTTAGCCAGATAGTAATATCCTTCGTCCCACGATGCCTTAATTGTTAAAGCCATGAAAGATATCAGGAACACAAGTAGAATACCGAGGTAATAAAGCATAGTTTTCTCAATAGCACTTTGTCTCCTCACTGCTTTACAGCACTAACTAAGGCAGAGGGCAGGGATTCATAGGGGATATCCAAGTTTTTATATAGAAGTCTGTGTGTGCCTTTATTTTATTTTCAGGAATTTTCAGGAAATGTTTATCCTAACCTAACAAATTCGCGGTGTGTTTTATTAGGATAATGTTCCTTTATATTCGAAAGAAAAACAGGTCTTTTGTGATGTTCCAGTGGAAGCATTTGTCATAAACTGCGACAATAATGGCTGGAAACGTATGTTTTTGGTGTTAATTTTATAACCTTTCCTTATCCATGTTTTTAAAAACAGATCTAACGAAAAATGTTTCCACGTATTTGATAAATGTCCGATACACCAGATTTGACCCTTGTTAAAAAACCCAAAATTCCAGGGGTAAGCTTAATTTTCTTTGAGAAATTTAACTTTTGCCATATAATGAACAAATATCAGAAATCAAATTCACAGACTAAAAAATATATTTTTGGATGTTATAGAACTACATGTATCTTCTTTTCGCAAAGTGTATTTATTAGAAACAAATGAAAATGTTCTGTATTTCTTTTTTTCCACCAGGACATAAATATATAAAACTTTAAAAAAAGCTAAACATCTTACCTTATACACGATATCCTTGGAGATATCTATAATTTTCGGACAGGAAATCACCGTTGTTCTGATCGTCCCAGTACTGGGCATACGCCGCTTGGATTATGGAAACCACAGCCAAGACAGAAACTTGGTAGACGAGTTGACAAACTGATTCCATGGCGGTGACTGAGTAAAATTATAAGTAAATGAAAATCTTTATGTGCTTACTGCTAAACGTGAATTGAAGACCAACTGTCTAGGCGTCAGCTTATATAGTCTCAAAATGTTGAAACATCGTAAAAAATATACTGCGACGGATGTTTCAGGGAGTGTTATACAAGAATCAAGCAAAAAGGACACAGTTCACGCCATTAAGTGTCGGAACTTCCTTGCCAGTTTTAAGTTTATTGGCTGAACCAGCTCCTGTGTACAACTGTAAATTCATACACAGTGGTTACTAAAAATTGCAGTTCTTTTTATTTTATGATTCAAGATAGCAATTCGTCTCTTAAACCATAGAACCAAATTGTCTACTTTAGGTTTATGGTTAAACTATTTGTACTTTTCCAAATTAAGCTCTGTTAGTGCATGTAAAAGCAGTTCAACCAAGTGCATGCATTAGAAGTTTGTTAAGGCAGGTTGTAAAAATCCTCTCTTGAAATTTTTTTGATTATTTTTTAATCTTAACCCGAACAGCCCACTGGCGTAAAAGTTATGTTCCTAGTTGTATCTTCTCTTACATTATAAATATACTGTAGCTTAATCTTCATTCTGTTGGTATTATACATAATATAAATGTATTGATCAGGAATATGGCACCCAAAATAAGTTGCAGTTACCAGCAATAACGTCATGATGGCAAACGTAGATTTTGTAAAAAAGCGGACTTTAAAGAAAAGTTAATGAAATCCTTGTGGCATCAAATTATTTGTCACAAGCTTCTTACTCAGAGCACGTTCTTGCGGAGCGAATGACTTGGGAAGTTTAAACACCATATGCAGACGATATTGGACAGACAATTATATATAATACAAAAAAGTGAACTACTTTCACTACATGCATGCATACCTGGTAGTTGATTCGACACACGCGAGCATGCTCTATACATACAATTACTAAAAGGATGGAAGCTTTTAACAAATACGTTGACCAAAACAAAGGTTTTATCCATCAGCTCTACTTTAGGCAAATTCTTCGAATCAATGGCCTTGTCAGTAAATACATTCTATATTTATCATCATGCAAATCGAATGTAATAGTTTTTCAAACAATTTGCAATTGTTGAGCTATTTTTTTCACTTTGAATTATCTACGGATAATAGTTCGTTATCAATTTTACGCTGCATTTCTACGTACACAATATCATTAAAAAGATACACAATAAATCTATCATAGGCGTCGGAAAGGGGGGGGGTAAGGGGCTGCTGACTAAGCCCCCCTATTTTTAACGTAAAGATAGACATAATATAGGCATTGAAAAGGACGTAAGTGTAGCCCCCCTCCACTTTCAACAGGCACGTTACAGTTAAGGTCAAAAAAAGGTAAGTGGTTGTGTTTGGAAAAAAATGGTTTTGCAAGAAGTTTGACCTGCCCCCCCCCCCCCCCCCCCACCTTGTTTGTACAATGGGAACATTTTCTTTGTAGGTTTGATTTTTTTCTCTTCATAATGCCCCCCCCCCCTTTTCAATTTGCTTCCGACGCTAATGCCTATTATTGATAGTTTACTTGTTTTCAGTTAAGTAGCAAGGTCAGTGACATCACTCGAGTAGGGACCTAATTTTTGCTATTTGCTATTAAGGTCAAGATCTAGTAAATGAAAGGTGCCTAAATTTATCAAACTTGAGAAATAAATTCCTATTATTGTGCTTTACAACTTTATCTTGGTCTACACATAAGGTATATAATAATTTGTAGGTAAACAAGATGAAAAACTGTATTTTAAACTGTCATTTCAATGAAAAATTAAGAAAACCAGTCATGAATATGGAAGTTTTTTTCGTATTCGGCATAGGAAATGTATCCAGATTGCCTACAGTCTCTCAGAAAACGGTAATTAGTATGTTCATGGCCTCTTCTTTAAATCAACATCAAATTTAATATAGGTATCCGGTTTACTTTTCATATGATTTCAAATTGAATGACATGAAAATACCCTTTTTTCTACATAATTCTGCTAAAGCACAAAGTACAGTAAAAAGAAAGTTGAAATTGATTATGACGTCATAATGGATCTAGCACCAAAAAATTTGTCTCAAGTTATTTACTAGATCTTGACCTTAAACAAACAAGTTCAAATAACTGAACTCTGAAATAATGTCTTTGGCAAAATATTGTTAGTTTATTTGATTTTTTATTGTCTCGTAAACAATATACAGTGGAGCCTCATTTATCCGGACGCTTTGGTTCCTTGTCAATTTGTCCGGATTTGTGAAGCGTCCGGATACCTGAATCACCAGTTAAATAAGACAAAGTAACATTTTTTGTCCCGATGAAAAATACTCTACTTGAAAGGATATAGTGGCGTCCGGATATCTGAAGGTCCACTGTACACAATAAACCACAGGTACTTCGGTCTTGGTTTATAAATACGTATAGTGTACCTTATTGATATTTTTAAAAAGTTACATATCAATAAGGTACATCATACATATTTATAAACCAAGACCCAAGTACCTGTGCAATAAACAATATACTTGTACATGCACTTGTACATTTTCATCTACAGTAAACCATTGAAATCTGTAAGTATGTGCATTTTATGCATACCATAACTTCCGGTATGAAAGAGTCTTCAAATGATTAACATAAATAAAATCATCATCAATACTTTAAAGCACTTGTACTTCGTGCACATGATGATAAATATATCATTCCTGCAAAACGATTCTTAAGAATTTGTCCCTTAATTTGTCAAAGATGGTCTTCGAAGTACTATAAGTATAACGAAGTACTTTAGCTCATTATGCAAATTATCCCACGTTTCCCACTATCACTGATACTCTGGCATACTATACTAACTAAACAGTGATTTATTATATATTCTAATGTAAAACTTTGATCACCCATTGTGGCCCCATCCTATCCCCGAGTGTCATGATTTGAAAAAAAAAAATGAATCTACACTACCTGAGGATAGTTCTATGTAAAAATTACTAATCAAGGCTTTGCTTTTTTCTAGATCTTGAGAAGAAGATTTTTAAAGATATTTTCCTATATAAGTTGAACTTTTAAAGATATTTACAATATATTTCTAGTAAAACTTTGATCACCCATTGTGGCCACACCCTACCCATGGGATCAAGATTTGAACAAACTTGAATCTACATCATGTCAAAAAGTTTTCACACAAAAGTCGTCTTTTTCAGCCCATTGGTTTTTGAGAAGATTTTTACATGTATATACACCCATCCAATTTTCCCTATTTCTTACTTACATGTATCTACCCTTGGTAGAGGGCATGCCCCTTCATTTGAACAAACTTGAATCCCCTTTATCCAACGATACTCTGGTTGAAATTGGCTCGATGGTTCTTGTTTTGTTTGTTTGTATGTTGTGTAATGTCCCTCTCGAGATTTTTATGATTTTACGAAGCTGCGGATAACAGATGGGTATCCTTCAATATTAAAGAAAGAATGGTAGTGTCCAATTTTTGCTGTGGGAAACCCCAAATATGTGTCGGATCAAGATGTAAAAAGGAGATCACAATGGCACTATGTAACAAAGATTCTATGAAAGTCATTCATTCAGTGGTATAAAAGGGATAAGAGATGGTTGGTTATCCCAAAGCGTAACAGACAGATGGACGGGCGTCCGTCCGTGCGTCTGTTACACTTTGGGGTACCCATCTCTTTTACTTGTAACTGACTTCTGACAGCATGCAGTTATGAATATAATCGGTCCTGTAAATATGCAATAAGATTTTGGGGGAAAAAAATTCAAAAAAAGGTTTTGTTTGTTTGTTTCACAAGAAACATGTTCCCATAACCTTTCTTTCATTTTATGCAGTAGCCAAATCTTTTTTTTTTTTTTTTTTTTTTTTTTTTTTTTTTTTTTGAGATTATAGAATTGGTGTTACCCTGTAGATGTGCAATAAATTAGCCATTTGTAATTGTATTCTCGTTGGGAATGCCTTGTCATGTTGTAAATTTTGTATTTACTGCCACCCGTGTAATGATTTCAAAATTTACATTCACAATGGAATCAAATTTAGAACTTTGTTTTCTTAAAACTCCCTTTTAATAAGAATTTAAGCTTTATCATAAATGTATTGTTTACACTAAAGATTGTTTTTATTAACATGTACAGTATTAGATAAACTTGTACTCCTGGTGTGGAGAAATTACCTAATCGTATTATTCTTACAGTTAGGACTGCAACTTGGATTTTTTCCTTTGTTATTACAGTTTTTATAACTTTCTTTCGTTGAAATAAAATCTTTTTATTCAAATCAATTCAACCAATATACTTAGTGATTACTTTTCTTCTCACCAAACCTTTCACATGAATTTCTGTATACTGAGTATTTGAAAAACAAAACTAAAGAATTCAATGTGGCTTAAAATTAAAAAGAAAAATTAATAGGAACAACGATTATTTATTGACCTCTGAATGATTTATGTACAACAAATGTTTTGGCCACCAACTTTGTTACTATAAATATCATGTTGACAAGATGTCTTCTTTGTTGACTAGTTTTCATTGCCGTATCCATACATCGCCGGCCTCAAAACAATCGTTGGATCCTAAAAATATAAAATAAATAAAAACATATTTTAAAAATTGTTTCTGATTCAGACACTGGAATATATTTAGCGATTTATTAAAAAAATAAAGAAACAATCATATCATTTAGCACTAAACAAAAAGCATGCAGGTATAATTACAATGTGCAAAACTGCCAGTTTGGACGAACAATTGTTCAATTTTTTTTTGTATAGCAGGTACAAACAGTATTATGAACAAATAACAAAATCCCTTTATTGGGCTACACTTGATGAATTACACTAAAAGCAAAGCAGTGCAAATATAAATACTGTAGGAACCTAAAAAATATTTTTTAAAACGATTTTTCTGTTTTAAATTAAAATACACTGTATTTTATTGCAAAATTTCAAAGTACATGTAATGCTCATTCCACGCTAGTCCGAAAAATCTGACGTTTTCCTGGCTTTTTTTTTTACGTTTTTATGGAATGCCATATACGACAGCCAACTGCTTACTGCCAACTGCTGACTGCTTACTGCCAACTGTCAGCTGCTTACTGCTAACTGCCACACATATTTGAATAAATTTTATTTTTATATTGATATTTATGTGAATTTTCAAAAAAAAAAAAATTGGCGCGGATCTAGAACATTTTTCCAAGAGGGTCACTCATGTTAAAAAAAATCCAACCCAGAAATTTCTTGACAAGAAAAAAAACGTAAAGTCCTTTCCTTAATGTGAAAATTTCTTTCGGCCGGGGAGAGGAGAGTTCTCATGTGTCATACCTTCATGTCTATGACATTCTTTATACCACCTTAACACGAATCCGCGTTTTCGTGGGGAGGGGGGGGGGTTCTAAGGTCCCTTTTAGTTGATTTTTTTCATACATTGAATAACTTTTAGTTGGTTTAGTTTGGGCATTAAATAACTTTACAAATTTCAGAGGGGTGGTCCGATCTCTAGATCTCTGCATGTAAAACATCTTATGGAAAGCCACAGGGGACCCCCATGTCATGTTCTATATATTTCATTGAAAAACAATCCTGGCCGGTCAGGATGGACTGTACAAATTTTAAATGCCCCCCCCCACCCCCCCACCCCATCCCCAAGATCTTTGCATGTGAAACATTATAACACACAGAGATATACATCTTTAATTTGAGGAAATTTTTAACTATAGAATATAATGGAAAACGTAAATTTATTTTCAAAACATCTTTATCTGCGAAACGATAAATCTTTTTTATTTTTTATTTTCTCTTTCAAAGGTTTTGTTGTCTGCAGGGGGGGGGGGGGGGGTGTTACTTCTTTAAAGATTAAAAGCAGGAAATAGTCATTGTATTATATACCTATTTCAAATTAGAAAATAAATATAAAAATAAACATTGTACTTTAAAAATGGGATATATTGAATATTACATAAATTAAAACATAATGGTCATTTAGTCTATTTAATTTTACCAGGGTGACCTCTTGGAAAAAATGTCCTGGATCCGCGCCTTTTTTTTTTTTTTAAATTCATATAAATGTCAATATAAAAATAAAATTTATTCAAATATGTGTGGCAGTTGGCAGTAAGCAGCTGACAGTTGGCAGTAAGCAGCCAGCAGTTGGCAGTAAGCTGTTGGCTGTCGTATATGGCATTCCATACGTTTTCGATATTTTACATGCCAGGAAAAAGGCATGTAAAATATCAAAATTGTAAAAAAAAAAAAAAAAAAAAAAAAGCCTGGAAAACGTCAGATTTTTCGGACTAATTCCACGCATGATGCCTTGTATACAGGAGGATAATATTACTTAAGGGAGTCTGAAAAGAATTTGATCTTATTAAACAAGAAACATGTGTATTTTAAGGACTACTGATCAACGTGTATTTTAAGGACTACTGATCAACAATACACATCAAGTGGAAAACGTAATCGTTTCTGATTTCTGATCGTTTCGTTTTCGATTTGTTCCGAAAACATAACAAATCGTTATCGGACCAAAGCTAAGTCCAACAGTTTAGGGGGTTCGTGCACCTTAGCTTATAGTAATGGTATTAGGGGGTTCGCGCACCTTAGCTCATAGTAACGGTATTAGGGGGTTCGCGCAGCTTACCTTAGTAACTGTATTAGGGGGTCCGCGCACCTTACCTTAGTAACGGTATCCGTTCAGGTATCTGTAATTGCCGTACAGGAAATCACCGTTCTGTTCGGGTTGGTACTGGGCAAGCGCCATCTGAAACATGGCTACCATAGCCAAGGTTGCAGTTTGGTAGAGAAACTGGCGAACTGATTCCATCTCGGATACTGCAGTTACTTGCTATTGAAGGACTCTGCGTTAAAACGTCGAGTGAAGACCCAGTGTTTGGGTGTAGCTTATATAGTCTCAAAATTGTTCAAGACAACGTAAAAAATGAACTACACTGGATGTTTTAGAGGTTGTAATACAAGAAAATTTGAAACAAGAAGGAAATAACTAAAAACATTTTTAATAACTTCCTTGCATGTTGCACGTTCTGTTCGTCGTGGGTTAAAGTCTGAAGGAGTTAAAAATGTCCAAATTGTTTTGCTTAACACGATGACTTTGGAATTCTGTGAAAATGTTTCTGTTTTCCCAAAATATGTCTTCATATAGATTTTGCTTACTAGTATTTTTATATAAAAGGAAAGTCAATTGATAGCAGTAATTTATTGTCGCTGTTATACTGCCTGAAAGTCATGCATTATGCAAAACAATAATAAGCCTGCGGTGCCAGCAATCTCGTATACATGTACCAACTTTTTTCAACCAGATAAAGCTTTTTTTTATCTAGTATCATGCAAAGAATTGCTCAATATGCACCTTTTGGTGACAACGTTTACCGTTTTAAGCACCTGTTTACCATCCCTTGTTACGTCCTTTACCTTTTACCAGTAATCGTTCCAGGTATAGGGGTCATCTCTAGACTGACCGTAGACTGTGTCCAGTAGGATCACTACCAAGGCAACTGTTTGCAACACGTAAATGGTCCAAGTTTCCATGGCAAAAAACGATAAAGGATCAAAGGAAAAAGAGATGCTTCGGTTTATATAGTTTAGCTTAAACGGCTGCCGTGGAACGGGGATTCGAGATGTTGTATAATTTGCAAGAAACCCACTCGAACATTAGTAGAAAACACGAAAAATAATGTAATGAGTAATGGTTTAGAACGTTGCGGACATAGAATGCGAGTTACAACACAAATCTATTGGTCCTGAGGTGATAGTTTAAACACTTTATTGCAGAACATCTTGTTCTCTCTCGTGTTTGATCAGGATTTTCCGGTCTGTAGCAAGGTTTTTAATTTGTTAGACCCCAAAAGAAAGCAAACAGTTTCTAACCGAAATATGGGAAATTTCTGTTTGTTGTAAAACTAGACATTTAAAAAAACACAAATCTTTGAAATGTAAGGTATTTTAGTAACTATTATGGATATTTATGATACTAGTATACGTTTTTGTATTAAATTTTGCGTGTCACAAGTTTGAGTTAGGTACTGTAATATTGATACGTGCTATTGATGTACATGTACCTAAGTCATGTTAAATGTCGAAGAATTAATTCATCAACTATGGGCATATATTAGTTTTATATACAGCAAACGTTTAGTGTGTTATTCAGTGTCTCAATTCTAAGAGCTGGAAAACCAACAATGTAAAAATATTACACGTTGTTAGGGTAACGTGAAATTATCGTTGACCAAGGCATTCCGTATTAAAGAGGACTTTTTGTGTTGTTGTTTTTTTTATTACCAATGTGCCTGACGATGTGACAAGAAGATTTCCTGTCCAGGTACAAAACAAGACACCTTGATGTTGTTTCTCAGAAATGTTTTTACTGAAACATCATTTTGATGGACTTGAAAGAAGTCTAAATCATCAAAAGTTGTTTTTTTTCTAACGTCCTGGACAAGTTGTGTTCATGATGGAAAAACACAATATAAATCTTTGATTAGTAAACACTCATGTCCTTGGAAAAAAAATTGTCATGTTCAACATGTTCAATATGGACGTTTACATGTCAATAAGATTTCTAATACGCATATAAAAATAATCATATACAGCATTAGATAAATATAGTTTCTTTATAATGATCTTTGTTTTGTTACTGTATTATAGTCGGCGGTAAGGGGATATATACCGGTAGTTTTTATGTACATGTATATACCGATGTACGTCCATTTGTCCAGCGCAGTATTTGTAAATCTGTCTGCAAAGAAAAAAAATTAAACGAGAGGGCTGTTCAATTAATGATGTCCTCAGTGCTCGGAAAGAAACAAAAACGCTTTTCACTGATTTAGTCTTAATTATTTCACCTAGATATTCTCTTTTAGTTAAAATACACGTCCGTAACGTTTTTAGCCAATATCTGATTGTTGTTTTAGAACTCAATTTTAAGTATGGCCCTTCGTATACTGAAATATGACAGATCCTATGATTTCCTGGACTTGTTTTTCTTTCTGAAAGGTGTTTTTTCAAGTTTGGAAAATGAAACATGTCGAAGGATGAAAGATCTGGCGAATATTTTTGGTGTGACAAAACATTAACTCTCTGTTTATCCCCAAAACTTCTTTACTCTTCAGGGCGTGTGGATTTGGACGCTGCATGAAGACATTTAATGTAGTGGATTACTAATTCTAGTTCCTTTGTCTCATAAAACTTTCGATTTTTTTGGCAAAAATTTTGCTTTCTAGACTCCTCCAGAAATTGAACTGCCTCCCTGAATAAGAATTTGAACAACAAGACCACTAATATTTAAGAAAATGGCATATAAATCTGTCGTTGTGCTCATGCAATTCTTTGCTCTTCTCAGACCTTTGCCGTTTTTGTCAAGTAGATCTCAATATTGTTTTGAGGGTTTTAAGCAATATATTCAAGTTTCATTATCTGTTTGAATTTCAGACAAACCTGGATTAATGCAATTTCTGAATTTTTACAATAATTGTTTAGATATTTTCACATGCTGTCGTTTTCACTCATTTTTCAAAAGATAGGGTGACCTTTGAGTACTTGGCTTTTTTTACTGTCAGACTTTTCTTTAAAACTGTGTAAAATACCTCCAAAATGATGTCCATCAAACATCATCATTGATTATTTGTTAACTTTTGGCAAACAGTAAATTGGTTCTTATAATTCCTTGTCGCTGAGGACGGTACCCATTTTTGATGTCCATTATTATCATTTTTGTTAATTGAAATCCACCAGCTCGTGTGTCTGGGATTGCTGTAAATTTCACATAGTTCAGTTAATATATCTTCTGGATTCTTAACAAGTTTTACAGCATCTTTAATGAAGCGTTTAATTTCATTCTAGTTTACTGATTCTTTAATAACCATTCATTTTTAATGCAGTGTCTCGAATAGCCCTTGTTTTCCAGCTTATCACAATGAAACTATGTGATGAAAAGTGGTAACATCAACTGTTATAAATTCATTAAAGATTCAATAATGACAGAAAGTCAAGCTTAATGTCATATTATGTCTATTTACTATGTCATAGTATTCAGGACATTGGTGCACAATTATGTAATAAAAATTCTGTGAAAGTTTCATTAAATTTCACTCAGTGGTATGTTACAACGCACTTTGAAAAATTACGCACTTTGAAAAAATTTTTCAAAGTGCGTTAAGTTTTGGGACCAGGTTAACGCACTCTGAAAAATTTTTTCAAAGTGCGTTGAATTTGGGACCAAATCAACGCACTTTGAAAATTTTTTTCAAAGTGCGTTAAAACTGTACATCATAATTTTACACCATGTAAACATTTAACGCACTTTGAAAACATTTTCATGAAACAAAAGGAATTAGACTTATATTTTAGAAATAGACAACAGTATTATCCCCTCGCAACGTATGATGGGATATAGTAATGCGATTATGTGTGTTATTACTTTATGTGTATGTTAGTTTTTTCTGTGTGGAATTGACGTAATTTGTATCGGGATAGATGTCAAATGATTTACTGAACATGCTTTTTTGGGAAGGAATGCTCCGCTTTGCGGTGCCCTTACTTTGATGTGTTTTTTTTCTAAAAACTAATGGATTGAAGAAAACCAAGAAACGGAAAACGAAGAAAAGACTGGCTGAATTAAGGTCTATCAGCTCAACTCTTTATCATTCCCACCCAGATATATCTATTTCTATAACTCGTTACCTTAAGTGTCAATGATATTTGAAAAAAAAAAAGCATTCTAAATACAGCATAAGCACTGTACAAGGAAGTCTGTAGTAAATCGAAATTTTGTTCTTTTAAATCTCAAAGTCTATTTATGTTCATTTTCAGGAAAATCAGAATATTAATTACTAGCTGTAAATTCCTTATTTTTCGCGAGTGTTTTTTTTATCGCGAACTGGCTCTCAAACGTCAAATCGCTAGAATTATAATTCGCGAATGAACGGTTAATGAACAGATTTTGCATAGATTTAAGCATCAGAAAAATAAAAGCGAGTAATATTTTTTTCGCGAGTGATACTTCCCGCGAAATTACGCAGAAATTAAGTCCTCGCTTATATTAAGGAATCTACAGTACCTGTCTGCTTTTCGATGTTAATTTGATACCATATCTGATAATCTCTCTGTTAAACTCCAGGTATTTAAAAACACAAGTTTTGCCAAAATTATAGAGTTATTTCTCTATGATATCCCAAATAAGTAAGGTTTTATGAAAATTCATATAAATATCTATAATTTTTTTAGAATCATTCCAATATGTTAACTTTTGAGAATTGACTAAGAGATAGGCGGAAGAACAATACTATCGTTCGTAGTTCTTTACGACATTGAATGTTGACCTTTTGACCCCAGATTCAAAAGGGGTCTTCCTAAGGCCACAGGTTTTCTGTTATGTTAAATTTCATTGCAAATGTTCAAAGGGTTGGCGAGATATCGTGTGGAAACGAAAGCGTTACAGAAAGACGGATGGTCGGACAGCTAGACGGACGGACTGACAGATAGACCCAAATTAATATCTCCCACTTTTCAAGCGGGGGACAAAAAGTATCAAATCAGGTTCAAATGATAAATTATCATACCTAAGATTTGTAGGAATATTGACTAAGCCATGCAGAATTTTTTTTTTCAAAGTGCGTTAATATGGTCGATATTAACGCACTTTGAAAAAAAAATTATTTTTTCAAAGTGCGTTAACCTGGTTTCAAAATTTAACGCACTTTGAAAATTTTTTTCAAAGTGCGTAATTTTTTCAAAGTGCGTTGCCACAGTGGTATAAGGAGTTGCAGATAAGAGATGGGTACCCCAAAGCGTAAGAGACAGACGGACGGACGTATAAACAGATGGAAGACGGACATACCAATTACTATATACCCTTCCGCTTTTCAAGTGGGGGTATAAAAATTACCATGCCAATAACGACAATAACTTTGATAGGCTGCAGCTATATCTTTCAGATTTTACAATTATATAAATTTCTGATTACAATATCTTTCTTGAATAAAAAGATATTTTACATTCCTTTCTACGTGTTCAAACAATTTTGACCATTTGAACTTGACCTTGGACTTTGGCATACTTGTGAAAAACTTAATTTAATCTTAGCCATATATTTTGAACATGATGTTGCTATGGCTTTCATATTTCACCTGTGTATTTCTTCTTCCTTGGGCACCATTATTTTGACCTTGGAGTTTGATCCCCTTTGAAATCTTTAACTTTGGTCTTAACTTTTGAACGGTTCTTGCGAGAGCTTTCCTATTTCATAAAATTTTCCTTGTGATTAGATCTTTCTTTGGGTGACATTGTTTTAATTATGCGCCCAGATCGATAGATCCGAGGCGTATATTATTTTTGTCCTGTCTGTATGTCTGTCTGTTTGTTTGTTTGTCTGCAAACTTTAACCTTCGCCATAACTTTTGAACGATGAAAGGTAGAGACTTCATATTTGATATGTATGGCACGCCAAATTCACAAAAATGAGACAATCATAGTTTCACAATTGATAAACTAGGTTTATCGACTGTAAACTATAGTTTACAAACCGTAAACTATAGTTAACGATTCGTTAAGTATAGTTTTCATCTGTAAAACTATATTTAACGGTTGTTAACTATAGTTTACGAATGTTAATTTAAGTTTATCTGTCTGTAATAAAGCGTTAACAATAGTTAAGAGTTGTTAATCATAGTTTCACAAATTGTGAAACTATATTTATCAGATCGTTAACTAAAGTTAACGGTTTGTAAACTATAGTTTACAAATCGCGAAACTGTATTTATCAGATAATCTATGTTTTGCAATCGCAAATGATTGTTTTCGGTGTTAAGCATAGTTTACGGTAGTGAAACATAGATTATCGCGTTAACTATGGTTTACAGATGTGAAATATAGATTAACGTTGTTAACTATAGTTTACGGTTTGTAAACTATAGTTTACAACCGTTAAACTTAGTTTATCGATTGTGAAACTATGATTATCTCATTTTTGTGAATTTGGCGTGCCATAGATATTCATACTTCACTTATTAGGTTCTTTCAAATGACATCAACGTCAATGACCTTGTGACCTTCATTGTGACCTATCTGCTAAAAATAGCTTTTTTGTCTGCAAACTTTAACCTTCGCCATAACTTTTGAACTATGAAAGATAGAGACTTCATATTTGTTATGCATACTCCAATATTCCAAGTTATTTCAAATGACACCAGGTCAATGACCTGGTGACCTTGACTGTGATCTATATGCTAAAAATAGCTTTTTCGTACCTTCGCCATAACTTTTGAACCATATAAGAGATAGAGACTTCATATTTGGTGTGCATACTCCACTAATCAAGTTCTTTCAAATGACACCAAGGTCAATGACCTTGTGCTTTGATTGTTTCCTATTTGCTAAAAATAGCTTTTTCGAATTTTGTTGCCGCCGGGTGCATGGTGTTTCACAAACACATCTTGTTTTTCCTTGTTATAAGATTCCCTATATAACACAATTAATTTTGTCCCTCTTGAAGTTTAATTAACCTTCTTCTAAAAAAATTAATCTTCGTCAAAATTTTTGAACGGTTCCTGGTAGGGCTGTAGGTGTTTTCCTTTTGATAAAACATTTCTTTCTTTAGATAACCTTATTATGTCCTTAGATTCAATATCTTTGCCTTGAACTTGGAGTTTGACCATGCAGCTGAAAACCTTTAATATTCACAAAAAACTGCCATACGGGGGCACGAGTGTTTCAAAACCACATCATTTTATGCGCCCGAATTGGGCGTATATTGTTTTTGTCCTGTCTGTCTGTTTGTCTTTTTGTTTGTCTACAAACGTTAACCTTCGCCATAACTTTTGAACTATGAAAGATAGAGACTTCATATTTGGTATGCATACTCCACAAATTAAACTGTTTCAAATGACACCAAGGTCAATGGCCTTGTGACCTTCACTGTGACCTATTTGCTAAAAATAGTTTTTTGTACCTTTGCCATAACTTTCGAACCATAGAAGATAGAGACTGCATATTAAGTATGCATACTCCACTAATTAATCTCTTTCAAATGACACCAAGGTCAATGACATTGACTGTGACATATATGCTAAAAATAGCTTTTCTAGAATTTTGTTGCCGGCGGGCGCATAGTGTTTTACAAACACATCTTATTTTATTTCAAAGAGAGGCTAATTGAAGATTCGGGTATACTAGCTTTCTTTTTTGTTCTGTTCTTCCGTCTGTCTGTTTGGCGGCAAAAAAATTTAACCTTGTCCGTATCTTTTGATTGGCTAAGACTTTTTCTTGGGTACCTGCATATTGGACCTTTTTTCTAGACCTTGAATTGGACCAGCTTTTACAAAATTTCACCACACTTTAACATTGGTCATAAAGTCATAATTTTTAACGGTTGATGCTATGGCTTTCATACTTAAAAACTTTATGCCTTTCCATGGATAAATGTAAGGTGTTTTTAACCTTTTGAGTTTGGCATATTTTAAAACCTTTAAACCAATTGCCTAAACTTGGTCATGTTTTGATTGGTTGAAGCTATTATAATGGGCTTTACAACATATGTTTTCATTGTGTCAAGTCCTTCTATTGAATATACATGTAAACAATTTTGACCCTTCGACCTTAGAGTTTGACTGGCCAAAACATTTGAACGGTTGGCACTAGGACTTTCTTATCGAATAGATGTATTTTTTGTAGCAAGACCTTCCATTGGGTACAAACAATTTGACATTTGAAAAACTTTAACTACTTTTAAAAGTTGTTGGTACAAGGTCTGTTCAAAATCTTTAATCTTGGCAATAACTTTCATGGCTGGAATGGCCTTCATAATACAAATACATGTATCTATTCCTTGTGACAAGTCCTGTCCATGTGACAGTTCTGGACCTTGGAAGTTTGACTTGCATTTGGAAAACTTTAACTTTGGCCATAACTTTTAACAGTTGTCACTAGGGCTTTCATATTGCATAGGTGTATTTCTTGTAGCTAGACCTTCTCTTGGGTATTAAAAGTTTCGACTTTGACCTGTGAGGTTGACCTTCTTTTAAAAACTTTAACTTTGGTCATACCTTCTGAGCAATTGGTGCCAGGGCTTTCAAATTTCACATTTTTTCTTTGTGACAAAACCTTCCCTTGGGTAACAACAAATTGATCAAATGAATTTGATCTTGGAAGTTTGGTGTTCTTTGAAATACACAGTACTATAACCTGTGCTATAACTTCTGGTGGTAGTAGGTCTTACATATTTCACAGTTATATTTATAGTGATTAGTTCATTATTTAGGTATTAACAATTTTGATCTCTTCACCTTGACCTTGATGTTTATCTTATATTTGAGAAATTATAAAGGACAAGGTAGGGTAACATCCAAATCTGGCCCCTTATTTGATGTACAAATCAGAATACTGGTAAAATTGTGATAGTTTGTAGTTAAGGACTTCAAATGATGCTTGCTTTAAAACCAGCACCAATCTGGATTCAAAGCTTATATGGTTGCCACTAGAAAATGCAGAAGTAGGACATTTTACCAAATTTCCTATATTCTGGAAGAATTTCATGATATTTGAGATACTTTTCTTTCTCTTCGGAAAAGATAGAGTACAAGCTTGCCTATCTGAGATTTTTACACATAAACTGCATCTGATACTAGTTGATAAAATATATAAATTTGGTAGATAGGCAAGCTTGTGCTCTATGTTTTCCAATACTCATTTTGTGGCAGGGATGACAACAGGTTTCTATGGATAAACTGTTGCTTCGTTCTGAAAGACACCCAAAATCAGGGGCCAAAAACGGGGCTTACCCTATCCTGTCCTTTGACAGCTGCCACAATGATAAGGGGGAATCAGTGTATCACAAACACATCTTGTTGTTTATAGTGATAATATGGTCTTTATTCAAAGCACTACTTACATATATATCATTTTACTTCAATATATTTTCAACATCTGGGAACCATTCCTCTAATGATTCAACACAATACCTATCTTAAAAAGATATAACATATACACAGTATATCTTTTTGTTTCAATACAGATCTATAACTTATTTTTGGTTTTTAGTAAAACAGTTAAATATTCTTTGGAATACACAGAAAATTAACATACATTACTTTTTTTAAAATTTAAAATGTCTCCCCATGGTTGTTAAAAACAGCACTCAATAAATTAGAGAAAACTGTAGCTGAGTTGCAACAAATTTTAAAAAATATGTTACTTAAATATTTTTAAGACTAAGACAAGTACAGAGTTCATGCCCTTTGGTCATGACAAATCCCCATCCCTTAACTTTGGATGTTTGTGAAAAAGAATAGTTTTTTTTATAATCAACAATTGAAGATAAATCTGAATATTTCAATTTCAGAATTACCTGTAAGCTTAACAATATACATTAAAATAAAATCATGTCATCCATTTTTTCACTTTCCATTTGACTTTTATATGTCATGCTGCAAAGAACCATAATGAGCTTCGGGAGACACACCTCCTGCATTTGCAGTTGTCAGTATTAAAAACATTCACCAGTATTATTGTGGAGAACATTCATTAACTTTGGAGTCGGGGATTTCAGCTTTGACAACATTGGCGACCCTACGACCTTTACTTTTCACCGGCTTGTCATATGAACCCTGACTTTCAGAGTGATCATTCTGGGATAGGGAACCAATTTCTACCCCTCCTTCAGAGTCCATCATCTTTATTTCGTCACTGAGACTGACAGATTTAGTCTTTTTGTATTCTATATCACAGTCCGTTCTTTTCTCAGCTGTATCTGACTCAGGGTCTGTATTTTCACTGTTGACTGTGGGCTGCTCCAGATGAAGTTCTCTGGCTGCTGTAGAGCTCTCCCTCCTTTTTCTCTCACATTTCACTTCCTTTAGAGAGTTATCTGACACTGATGGTAACTTTTCAAGCTTGCCCCTCTTAGCAGTTGGTTCATTCTTCATTTTTTCTGTAATGTAAATTCAATGTTTTCATTGATAAAGTAGATTTTGAGCTGAATGTTGTATATCTCAAAAATGACTTTCAATGTAATAAACTATAAATACACTTACCTGGTTCATATTTTGCTCTTAGTTCTTCCACTTTCAGTTTTTCCTTTAGATACAAAGCTCTTGTCTTTTCTCTCTGGGTTTCAATGTCATATTGTTTTCTTTCCAATGATAAAACTGTGTCTTTTTCAGCTAACAGAAGCATTTTTTGTGCCTTGACTTCATTCTTTAATTTTGCTGCTTCTTCACTGCAGATAAGATCAAAGAATCAGTTTATGATATACGGGGGTATGGACCTTCATTTCAAACAAATTCCAAACCTATTTACAGGAGTCTACTTCACATCAGTACTTACTTGGATGCTTTGATGATACTTAATAGATATTTCACATATTCCTCCCCAGAACTGACCTCCCCTTCTTTAATTGGTCTCTCAACATCTCCTTGTAGTACTATCTGAAAAGATATATTTCAAAAATGCTTAAAAACTTCTTTAAAAATGGGTTCAGTATCCCATTATTAATTTGATATGAACAACTCAATATATAAAACCTATGTTCTCTTCACAATATGATTCCTTTTGTAGATTATTGTTAAAACCAACAACAGTTATCAATGAATATTAATGAATATTTCTTGTATGTTTTCATATATGCTTTGAGATATAGCAACTATAGAGCTGAACCAGTCAGATACTCATTGTAAATTTAAGGGGGGCAAAATGATTTTTAAAAAAATTAAGGGAATCAAAAATTTTTTTAATACTTCAAAGTCATTTTTTAAAACTCTAAGTATAAGCAGGTTTCCCAACAAAATTTGCTTTTAAAAATATTTTATTCATTAAAACATAAATTAGATCAAACATGAGTGCCTATAATCATTCTCTTGACATGTACCTCTGATTTTGGAGCCCGATGGATTTCCTCCAGAAGTTGTTTCTTTTCCTCCTGAAGCTGACAAACCTCACTCTGAAGTTTCTGTATGCGACTATCATCTGATTTCTCCTTACTGAGCCCCAAACAAGTAAACATCTGCATCTAATTATAAGGTAAAATAGAATTTATTATTTAAAAATGCATCTCATATAGCAAAAAAATTGCCCTGTGTCTTAACAAATGAGAAAACATACCGGTATAAAAAATGATGTTGATTCTGAAATGGAGGGAGATAACTCTTTTTTTTTATTTTTAAATAATGGACTGTCTAAATTATATATGCAGTTTGATTAACATGACACTCAAGCATTGACAGATCAGAATTTAAATGACCATCTAAAATATATATGAAATAATTTTTTTAACTGTTATACGACATTTAATATTGCAAATGCTGATTGATTTTAAAAGTGAATTCCCCCAAATACAGAAAACTAATATATTTCATTTATATAATTAATTTAGTTTCTTCAGTTTAGAAATACAATTATCATTATCTTATGATTTATTTTAAACAGATTTTAAGTATATGTATTTTAAAATAGGTAGTAAATGACAACACTTGGAAGATATATATTTTGATAACAAGAGCCTGTTCTTGAAATAAAAGTGAGAAAACTATTAAAAAAGATATGTTCTGAAATATACCGATTAATCGATTGTTAAAATCTCCAGATTGGTACAACACTTAAATTTGTTTTATTGTTTTCATTACACTTTTTCTCCTCCCACCCCCCAACTCTTGAGGCATGACATGTAATAACTTGCTAATGAGAATATTTTGCTCACAAATATTTAAGAGCAAATTAAATTTATATACTGACTACCTGTACTCTTATATGTAAATAAATTTAGCAAGCCATCAAGGTTGATAAAAAATATTAATTCAGACCCAGTGGAAAATAATCTTAATGATAATCATAAAATGTTTTCCACAACACATGCACTAGGCTTACCTTTAATTTATGTATTTGTTGATTCAGCTGCTGGTTAGAAAGTTGATATTTCTTTACTAATTTTTCAGCTTTAACCCTTCTATCTTCAACCTTAAATAAAATAATACATTATTATGCAAGCAAATTCTATTTTTAAAAAAGATTAAAGTTACTTCCATTGGAATACATTTATCATATAGAGTGTAGTACCTCAGAAAATAGAGAGTTTCCTTTACAAGATTGGGTCTGAGACTCCATTTGTAAAACATCAATCTGTGCATTCAAATCCATGATTTCTGTCCGACATTTCTGAAAGATGTTCAGAAAAAAAGGGATTTATACTTGTTCAACTTTTTTCTTTTACATGTACATGAAAATACACAACTTTGATTTATCAGAGCAATAAGAATATAAAATGGTTATCTGGTTACAACAGCATGGCCTGACTTTATACCTCGATTGTGTTGACATATGTAGTGATCTGACACTGTAGTTCCTCCATTTCTTGCTCCTTGTTCACCATTTTTTGTTTCAGATTCTCTAGTTCTATTGTTGCACTTTGACAATCATGTCTCATTTCAATGAGGTCACCTTTTAGCTGCATCTGAAAAAATCATTCATTACATCTGTACTCCATATATTTATAAATACACTGTAGTTGCATTAAATTTCAATAACAAGTACATGTACAGTGAGTAACATACTTATATTTTTTGTAACAGACAGGATCAATCTGATTTTAAAAAATCAAATCTTTGTTACGCTCCAAAATTCTGATGGTCGCTGTACAGCAACTATCAGAATTTTGGAGCATATTAACAAACATATGTTTTTATTCAGGTTGCAGACAGGATATTATGAATTTCAGATGTAACATTATATACATGTAGCCAAAATAACTGACTGTCCCTTCTTTGAAATTAGGGTTTATTGTAAGTGCTTAACTTTATACACAAAATAAATATTTTTAAAAAAATTATCCACATAAAAACAATCATTGCAACTCAAAAGATACTATATATTACTCGCACTCACACCACTGTGATTAAGTTCTTACATTTTCATTCTGTAGAGAACATAATTCATTCATTAGCTGTGTGTTATCCTCTGTCATAATGGAGTGAGACAGTGTCTCGTTAATCGTCTTATTGCTCTCCACTAACTTCTCCAGAGACTGAACCTGAGATCTCAAATTGTTCTCTGAAGATTTATGTTGATCAATATCTTCTTCCAAGGTCCCTATCTACAATTAAACCACACTCAATTTTTATTTAAAGCTGCTGTTTGCTGCATTAAAAGAAACTGACTAAATAAAATTTATATAAAATACAGCTGCATAAAAAAACAAGCATGACACATGGACTTCATTTCACTTTGTGACTTTCGGAAAGACATTGTCGCAAACCACGGCCAAAATGTACGATCCTCTCCCATTCTGGCCGTGGTTGAATGAGGAGAGAATATCTCGTAGTTCATTAAAATATTGACCAATGCAAGTAAAGCATAGTCGGATAATGAACTTTGATGTGACCTTTCAATACCCAATCGCAGTGCACAAATATTTCTTGTATACTGCTGATGAAAATTGTTGATTTCAATTGCGATGGAAACAAAACTTGTCATAGACTGAATATGATGTCACAATAGAGAGGCATGAATATTAAAGATTACGACACTTTTTGTGGTCAAGCAGCCACGGGTAGGAAAGAGCTATATGCGGAATCTGGACCGTGGCTTGAGACGATGTCGGAAAGATGACTTTGGGGTTTCCAATATTCTTGATATAAAAATACCTTTCTTTGTAATCTAACCACTTCTTCTTTAAGGGCATCTTGTATATCTAAATCTTGTTTCCTCATCGTCTGAAGCTGTGCGATTTCCTCATGGTACCATGCCTCCTGGCTTACAGCAGATGATAACTTATTTTTCAAGGAATAGACTTCTTGTCTTAGCTCCTAAAAAATAAAAATGTGTCATAACGGGATTTACATTGTTAAAAATAAGTACATGTGTATTAACATGATTGTAAAGAGCAAGTACATATTATTTATTGCTATTGTGTAACAGGAGAGGAGAAAATGCAGCGGACCAGACTGGGATTTGAACCTGGGCCCCCTGAAACTGCAGTCAGGTGCTCTACCAACTGAGCTATCTGGTCATCGGGGAACGAACCCGGCTGACTGTCACATTCGTCCCTCCTTAAAGGTCTTTGGCCCTCCAAAGACCCCCAACTCAGGCTCATCCTGGTCACGGCACCAAATGTAACGTGAGATAAGAAAATACAGCGGACCAGACCGGGATTTGAACCCAGGTCCCCTGAAACTCCGGTCAGGTGCTCTACCGACTAAGCTATCTGGCCACCGGCAATCGAACCCGGCTGACCACCACATTTGATATCTTCTCTATGATATGTGGATATGTTATCTGCTCCACAGGTACTTGTGGACAGGACCCCCCCCCCCTTCCCCGGATAACAAGCATGACAATATTCAACCCCGGGGCTTGTTGGACATTTTTTTCCACATATATTCATTACACTTATTCATCATGTTTTCAATAGGAAAAAATCGTAAAAAAAACAAAAATAATCGCTCCACAAAAAAGACCCCACTATAAGAGATCTCTCTCTTATTTTATAAACATAATTTGTAAAAAAAAAAAAAAAAATGTCCAATAAGCCCCGGGGTTGAAAATAGGGGGGTGTTCCTGTCCACAAGTACTCGTGATCTGCTCCAAGACTATTTATTGAATGTTTTGAACGTTATAACTGAGGAACGAATGTGATCAAATTCAAATAAAAGACTAAAAACAATCCTACCTCTGTTTCATCCATGGTTTAGTAAAAACATAAGTCACTTGAAACTTCAATAAATACGGTACTTGTTTAGTTTCAATTTTCAAATCAGGCGCGTGATTTACAATTATGTGTCTTTCGAGCCCGATTCAAAAGCCCAATATTATTACCTTGAATAATGTTTGGATTTCAAACAATTCTAAAAAACCAACATGGTAAATAAGTACGGAAAGAACAATTTTTATACTGATAAAGATCTTATTCTGATTATAAAAACTTCTGTCATCACGTTGAGTCCATTCTACTTTCATTTTTGCAAACTGAAAGTTGTCACACATTTTCCAAGCCAGCAACCGAAACAGTGAATGGTATGATCAGAGGAGTTACACGGCGATTTTTCATTCGTTTATCCTATGATGGTACAGAATACAGGTAACTTTAAAGCAGACCAAAGTTTAAAAAAACACAATGTTTAGAATACTGTACAGAAAAAAACACAACAAAACAAACAAGCACGTGTAATGTTGCACAAAAGTCCATACAATACATACTAGTTTTTTTTTTTAATTCAAGCGTACATGTTTATTATTTCAGAGGGGTTTCTTTTAATCCAGATGTGAAGACAGTTGAGTCAGCTGTTTCTGTAAGTGACCAAAAAAAAAAAATAGTTTAAAAAAGGAAATGAAATTCAAGCATACTCAATATTTAAATGACAATTAAAGAAAATAATCATGGACACAACTAATATTATTAATTAAATTTATATGTTACTATGAGATACATACAAGGTAAGTATGATTAATAACACATTTAGGAAAATTCAGGTGAATGTCATACTTGAAGGTCATTAAATAATTGTTAAACTGCACATTGATAAATAATTTAACAGTTAACAACATACATGTATTGTATGGACAAAAAATATATACACGCTATATAATATTATATTCAGAGGTAGATTTCTAAGAAGTTATTTCTCCCTGAAGAATTGTGCAATGATTTTTACAGAAATTTCTCAAAGAAGTATATGGGAATAATTTTCAACTAAGATCAACAAGTCGCACTGATGCAGGTGTTCATGGAATGTCCAATATCATCAAATTAATTCTCTATGATAAGTAAGTTCCAGTTATTGTGTTTTTTCTTTGACTTATCACTTAGGCACATGATGGAATCAATTATTTTATTATTTCTGGAATATGTTACAATTAATTTATATACAAAACAGGAGTGTTTAGCATTGCTATAATTGCTACATGTATTTAAGGACTCCAACAACAAAACTCCATTGTAATGATTATTAGGTTATAACTGGTTGAAGGACAGAGTTCTTGACTCTATTTTAAATAAAGTAGGTTGATTATTGTATGTAGCAAAATATATATATAAAGTTCTGCTTTTACTTAGGCCAATTAAAACAAATATGTGTGGTTCTGGTTACCTGACCTTCCCTATTTTACACCCCAGACCCTAACTTCTTTTTGGCAATTTCAATATTTTTTCTAGAACTTTCTCTTTTTCCGTCATCGGGTATTTGTTTTTGTTTCAGCAAGGGCGTTCTCCTTGCCACATTCTTCTGACAGCTCTTAGCAATACGCTGTCCATTGTCTATTGTATCATGTTTATTGTTCTAAATTTATTATTGAATAGACTAAAAATTACCCTGCATAAAAGCAATTAATTTCATTTATAAACTTGGATTTAAAAAAAGGATGTTCAACTCCAACTTTTTTTTCTAAATACCAAAAAAAAGTTTGTATTTATAATATTTTTGATTTGAAAATATTTGTTTGATTACTAGGCACCCACCAATGTTGACTAGTATCTTATCACACCACATCTAAATGCCACCTGCAAAGTAGTGATAGGTATTATTAAAGGAAAAATTTTGAAAAACAATTTGTAAAAAAAATATTTTTAAAAAAATCCATACCTACATACCTTAATTATTTTTGGAGGTGTAATGGGAACCACACATATTTTTTTGTTTTGCCTTATCATGGGATGATCATCTACAAAGTGATGTATGGGTAAACATTATAAACAAAAATCATTTTTGATACACAGTACATGTACCATTGGTTTCTAAATACAGTCAAACTTCGTTATCTCGCCCTGATGGGACCGAGAAAAAACTTTGAGATATCCGAGGATTCGAGACATCCAAGGTTAAAGAAAGAATATGTGGATGGGACTTCCAAATCACTTCGACATATCCATGGTATTTGAGATATCGGAGTTCGACATACCGAAGTTCAACTGTATTATTTGTTAAATATTGAATAAGACTAGTGCATATTTAGGTTATTTACCAAATTTAATATAGTAATCTCTGTAAGTCATTTTTGATACCATGTTATAAATATGTTGTTAATGCCCTTAGCAATTCAATTTTCATGAAAATTTGCAACAATATTATTTTACACTTGTAGAAAAGCTGTTGTAGATGTCAAACAACTTGCATATTCTTTGAATTATCATTTAAAAAAAGAAAAAGAAGAAATCAGGTATTTGAACAAAATTAAAAATATTTCAAAATAAAAACAACTTTAAGTTGTTTTTATTTTGAAATATTTTTAATTTTGTTCATGGGTGATATTACAAATTAACAGAAGAAAACTTTTTAATTCATGCAAAAATAAATTATTTACCCACCTTCCCCAATACAAAAAAAGTTCAGAAATTGTTATTGTTTTAAATTTTAAACACCCTAAAGAAATATTTAATTGAGCAAAAAGTTTATGATAAATGGGAAGTGTGAGTTATATGGCCACACTGGACTGTATGATTTTCTTCTGCTGATAATTACATGTTATTCTAGATAAATGTTTCTGCTTGCACCATGTGCCCTAGATATGAAAATTTTGTTTACTTCTCTTTTAAATAAAATCTCCTTAAAATCAATACTGAATTAAGGTATCTGTCCAGATCAAGAGCTTATTCAAAGTTCCAGGAATTTATTTCATTTTTCAGAGTACAAAACATCCAGGAGATACCCTTCTTCAGGTATGGAGCAGAGTTTATAAAACAGCGGGTGTATGTGTATCGCCTGGCTGTTTATAAAGAATTACAGGTTCCAGTCTCACAGGGCAACACAATAGACAGTATAAAATGTAATGCTCTCCCGAGGCAGGGGACAGGAATTATATTTCATGACAAAACCTGCACAACTCTAAGGTAAATGTACATCAAACCTATATACATGTACACATGTATATATACCGTGCTTGTAACTTTTGATAAATTAAAAAAAAAACTTTTCAAAATGTAATGTGATCATTTCCTTATACAATAAGCATTTTCAAGGTAAAGATGCTAACATTAAATGAGAAAGATTTTCAAAGAATTTTTTAATGAATATCAGAAAGTATATCTGTAAAGTGCTGAGAATGGCCTTCTATGTCATATATTTAATATATAACTTTTTAGTGTTGAAAAAGAGGGATTTACCCTTTGAACTGAGATAATAATAGTTTGATCCTACCTCCCTCTCTCTATCTTTCTATCTTTTCTTTCAGATTTTAACTAAATAGAGACATGTCTCTTTCAATAACTCACAAGATTTTCATTCCAATTTCATCTTTCTTTTTTGGTAGTCCTCCATTCTGTGTTGATAAATTGATTGAAGGTGCTGAGGTACTGTCAGGGGTTAACAACATTTATAACTGTACACCAATAGCTGGACACAGAGAGATGGAAAAGAAACTGCAGGGCAATAAGTCATACATAAGGGACGTCCAGATAGAGGTGGGGCGCGGCCATCCAATGTTACTGGCTCTCCAACCTCAGTTAGCACAGCAACTGGAATTATGGGAAATTCATTTCAAGTCCCAATCCTACATTTATAAACAGGTTTGAAAAATCTGGTATTTGTTAGCAGTCACACTAATATGGCTGAAACCTATGTCATTTTTCAAATTTTCTCATTTTATGGAAATTTTCTTCAATTTTATGGCACATTCCGTTTCACAAAACATAAAACACAAGCTCTCAATCTTAGACCAGAAAACACCACAAATTTATAATTGTTATTACAATGCCACAGATAAATGGCTAACCCAAGATTCCATTCTAAAATTGATGTTTGGACAGATTCGTCGTATGGTGGGTCTCATGGTGGGGTATGCACAGGGACAATACAGCCTGGACCTATTGAGGAGGTTTATGTCTGGACAGACACTATCACAAAAAGATAACATAGCATTCTATAGAGCCACAGACACCCACACAATGATGCCCCAGGGACTATTCCTACAGGACATTGAGTGTGATGATGAAAGTAAGGGCTTTTACAATCAGACTAGAAAAGTTTGATTTAAGATTGATATTAATTGTCTTGATCTTGACTTTGTAGGAATGCTAGAGGAATGTTCCTTGGACAACCCTTATATCCAGCTTTTAGCCAATATAAACATTCTCAAGGAAATGTTGGTTAAATGCAGTTCTAATGATAACTCTTCTACACTTCAAGAATTGTCAAGTACCTCACAGACAAAGTCAAAAATACAGGATTATGATAAGGAATCTTTGAAACAGAGACATCAGAGTAAAGGAAGGGACTTAACAAGTAGTGTTTTAATTCAGACAAAACTAGGTGTAGTCAAAGCACATATTAGCTGATGAAAACTGGGCTAGGAAGTTTGTTTTAATCTTTTGTCATGTCATAATACACAATCTTATTTACTACTTTGTGACAAAATAAAAAAGAAAGAAATTAACAGAATTATCTTTTTAACTTTTGTGATAATCCAATTGTACAAATAAAAGAAGGGAAATTTAAGATGAAATTCAAAAACTGTAAAATCACATATTTTCATGGGGTAAAATTTTCATTGTTTGAAGAAATGCTCTTGATTTGTGGGGATTTGAATTTGTGGATGAATTGTTGAGTAGTTATGTATATTATATTTTACATTTCGTGGTGGACATGAATTCATGAATCCCTTCATTCCTTAAAAACAACAAAAATTAAACCCCTTAGAAAATTTGACATTTCATAGTAAATGTTTGCTCAGCTCAAGCTTAAATTATTTACAATAGATTTCATCAGAAATGCCCCCCTCCCAAATGCATTACACATACATGTAATAAGTAATGAAAATCTAATATTGCATGAAAAATACTTCCTCCACATTTAAATTGTATGTCATGTTTTGAGTATTGAACTCATGCTGCCATAATTTTTTAACAGTTGGTGCTAGGGCTTTCTTTTGAATTTCTCTTCAATACTTAGCAGGCATGTCCTATGATCACTTTTGAATTTTTGCAAAGTAAACCAACTCTTTGAATTTTGCACTATGTTTATTACATAAACAATGAGATGAGTTGACAAAAAAAAATGAGAGAGCACTAGTTGTTCAAAAAATAATAAAGATCGTCAAAGTCAGACACTAGTAATCTTCATAAAATTTGGGTATCTGGTCTCCCGTCAGTACAAATCTCTCCACACCGTCTTTAGTGATTGAGGCTAGCCTGACCACCCCACCACTACTGCCATCTCTGCTCATCGCCAAGGACAGCCCTAGAAAACAAGTAATAGATTAAGCACTGGACAAGACAATTTCCCTCAATGTAAAGGATACCATATATTAGGACACTATATATTCTTTCATTATGTAGGACACTATATTCTTTTATTTCATGTGATGGACAGTTAAACACGTGTCTTAGATATACCATGTGTTATTAAGTAAAAGTATTTAATGCAAGATGCGCAACTGCTTTAACACAAGTAATGCAGTTCTGATCTGTTAATCATATTTTGACAGAATAATCAAAGGGATATAACTTCTCTCAAAGATTTCTCTATATGTTCAAGAGAGTCCTACCCTTAAAGAGGCTTTGCTGTAATTTTTCACTGTGCAAACTTCAGCTTGATGCACTAAGCCAAAAGCTAAAATTTATAAAGTACTACTGTGATTACTGTGTACTTTAAACTTACCATTGGCAACAAACTTTAGACATTCTTCCTTAGACATGCCAGTTTTGAAATTTGAGTCAACATATCCATAGATGTAGGTGCTACCAGATCCACCTGTTGTAAATGGCATGCGAGTCAACATCCCACCCAATGGAATAGCAAATACCTGTTCCAAAGAGATATACTTGTAAATTATAATAAACTTTTAAATTAGGAAAAGAAAAGAATCCAAGAATTTATGCTGCAAGTTTAACGAAAAGTCAGTATTGTGTAAGATGAATTAATAAAAAAAAAAAAACATGAAAAAAAAATAATTTACAAACAATAGAACAGATTTGCTAATTGATGAGTTGCCCAAAACATAACTGCAAAAATCTAAATCCATGAATCAAACTTGGAAATGTTTGCGACTGAGAAATAATGATAATCCTGTGCATGCATTCATGGGGAAGTCCGAAGACTATTCGAGGAGCACAATAATGGTTTTGACCAAGTTGAGTTATTCTACATAAATGCATCTGAAGAACTTAATCACTATCCAGAATCAGTAGTCTCCTATATAAATATATTTTCGTATGTTAAATTAATGCATAATAAACAGTCTTTAGTTCTCTAGTTAATGTATTGCTGAAAAAGAAGGGTAAGAGGATGAAAATTTGTTTGATTCAAGATGTATTAAGCATGATTGTTTGAAATATTTTAGTTCAGAACAATTTGTCAGATGCAAGTTAAAAATGAAAACAAAACTGTCACATAAACAATACTTAGCCATGTTATTGATCAGAAAAGCTCCATTCCATCATAAGTAAGATTATACAGACACATACCTGTCCCCCCTCACTCTTGTCCCAGCCTGCTACAATGATCCCTGCAGATAAATTATCCCTGTTGTTGTAGCATAATTCTCTGAAAATGTTGGCTGCAGTTTTGACTTTTGGCTCTTCTCCTGTATCCATCCTGAAAAATAAAAGTATCACGCATGTAATAAATTTCACACTGTTGGGGCCCCCCAAAACATAACATTTACTTTAAGCAGCCTTTCAGGCAAGTTAGGGCACAGACAAAGATGGCAGACATGCTTAACCAGTGCACTGCTTGCTGGTTTAGTTTCTGTTGCAGTATTTTCATTATGTAATTAAAACACTTACTTGTGAAAGTTAAGATGATAATTCACAATATCTGCCACAGCCTGTGTATCCGCAGCTGAGCCTGAGCGACAGCAGTAAATCAGGTCTGTCACCTTTGTTAGTTTGTCTGTCACTCTGTTGGCTATGTATGCACTAAAAGGGTAAATTCATATGTTAGTTGAAAATTTATTGCAAATTTGAAATAAAATCCTTCTGTGTACTTCAAGATCCTCCTCAAAATACATGTATATCTACATGTAAAATACATAATTGGGCAGAGCCACAAACTGGAAATATTTGGATGATGGTTGTATACTTGGGTGAATGGGAATTATGGAGAAAACTCTAAGCGAACTGAACCATATGAACAGGAAGAGAGGGCATATGAACATGATGAACCTGATACTTCAATTTTCAAATATATTCCTATCATTCATGATATGATAATTTTGATAATGGCACTATTTCTTATAAAAATTTGCTCAGGTTTGTAGACAACAAATATAATTATTGTAGGCTGACATTTTTTTTGTAGCTACATGTAATTTCAGCAAAGTTATTGCAAGTATAAAGATTATATATGATTTATATTGTTCTGTCTGTGTATCACTAAATGAGGCATACCCTGTTGTTGTTCTAGAGTCTGCACCAATAACGACCCCATCACTGTATTCCACAGCCATAATTGTTGTCTAGAATAAAAATTAAAAACAATCATTATCAACAAAAATAACCAACAGACAATATAGCATAACTGTAACATACACGATACAGAGAAATTACTCCCTCAGTCAGTCACTGAGTCAGTGTCTTCCCTCTCCTCTTGAAAGCTTCTATTATTTGTCATAACGATTGGTATCAAAGTTTAAATTAGTAATACTTCTTCAAAAAGCAATATTTTACCCCCGTTTCGTGCTCGGCACGAAGCCAATCTGGTGTAGACGACAGATTGTTCATCATCATGGTTTTTGAGAACCTTTTCTTTTCCGAAATTGCTAGTCACGGAGATACTTTTGTATCTTCAAAGAAAGGAGAGTAACATGGAAGGGAAATAACTCGTGATGCGGATTTTCTATTGAATGTTTATATGACTTTTAATGTGACACTTTTTTATGTGACCTAAAACCCTGAGTCAGACGAATTTTTTTTTCAGGAAAATATCAGCATTTCTTCAGATTTATGAAGCTTTATATACAACAAAAGAACCCCCCCCCCACCCCTGATGGTTGATGCTGGACTTTTCAAGTGTAAATGACGCTATTGCCCCCTCCCCTAAATCCTACTGGGACAATATTATATGATTAGTACGTAAGTTCATTTTAAGCGCATGGAATCAGTGGCGGATCCGGAAGTTCATGTGGGGGGGGGGGGGGTTGAGGCCCAAAGGGCCGAAGGGGGAGGGCATGGGAGGGGGTGTCCCCCTCCCATAGGTGGGGGTTCGGGAAAATGTGAGAAAATTTTGTTTTAAATGGTTCTAAATGGTGCATTTTCCAGCATTTTTGGGGTACTTTTTGTAGCTTTTTTAAAGACCGATCATCACAAATTTTTAATAAAATGTTTTCAATTTAATTTAACTTTAACACAAGACTTAAGACTTTTCTTAAAAAAATGTTAAATCTGACAATTTTAGGAATGCAAGCAATTGACTTCAAGTTGTCTTAGTTTACTTTAAATGCACCTACAATTAATTTAGTCCTATGTCAAGCTGACATCCAAGATACAACTAATGTGCAAAATTTTTAAATACTAAAAAAAAAATTAAAAATTGAATTATTTTCAGAATCCCTGACTAGTGCTTTTCAACTTACTCGAGTATATACTGTCAATATGATTTGGAATATAAACACACGTGTACAATTAATGAAATTTCAAACTGTCTTAACTGAAGAAAAAAATTACATAAACTGGAGAATCTGTCAAAACTAGAGGGGTTTGCTAAGCCAACCTGGTTTTGTAAAAAAATTATATTAATTTAATTTTAAAACGGTAAAAAAAAACCCCTGAATAATAGTTTATTCATAGTTTAAAAATCATGCATTTTATCAGCAAAAGAATATTACTGAGCAGCACCGTAACTATGCAGTTTTCTGTTGTTGGTACCTAACTACATTGTACTGTGATCTTGTGACTTCACTAGATGCACGGACTACCCGATCTCTGAGGCACTCTCTCTGTTGATTACCTGGTATCGTGTGTGTTCAAGCGGAAAGTGATTTCCTGTTATGTAGTTGATGTATATTTCACAGTTGTACAAACAAAGGGTTTATGTTTATTAGAGTCTTATCAATGCAACAAAACGATAAAATGACACTTGTCAAAAAAAAAAATCAATGAGCGGGGGTTTTTTCCCGAACCCCCCCAAACCCCCCTGGATCCGCCCTTGGGAATGAAAATGTTTTAAATACATCTCATCTCGATTCTCAGGTGAGAAGATCGACCTCTTGTGAACATTTTCAGCTTATTCTCTGGAAACACAGATCTACACGGTTTTCCGTACCCCTACTTCCTTATCTTTAATTCTTTGTGCGTCCATTTTCTACAAATTTTGGCATATACCCGGCCCTGTTAATCAAAACTTCCAAACCATCACGCTGCAACAACGATATACTAGTACATGTACGTGTAACTAGAGGTACTGTGAGCAATGAGCTC